CATAACTGCAATGTTAAGTTCTAGAATAGGACTGTTTGACCTGTGACCTGCGGCAATGCAGTGCAGTAACTCACCACCATTTATTGGCGCTGCCATCTGCTGGGGACCCTGTCATCTGTTACTATCCTAAGATTGTCCTTATTTTATAGTCAAGAAGGTGAAGCTTGGGTGGGCTCAGGATCTGACCTCGGGGCTCTTTTCTCAGAAGTCTACACTCTGTGTACATCATAGTCCCTTCCTACAAGTGTTTGTGTTTTATTTCCCTCTCTTTAACTGTATTGTGCTGTGTTTAAAGGGTGGTCATTCTTTTTTAGCCTTTAGATGAAGCTGTTCTCTCCGAGTTAAAGACCGTGCTGAAGAGCTTCCTGGGTCAAGGGCAGATCTTGAAACTGGAGGTTAAGGTGGGTTTGGTCCCTTCATTGTCTGACTCGGCCACGGCTGTGGGAACCGAGGCAGAGCTGAAGCTGAGTCCTGATCCCGGCATAGTTCCCATCCATGTTGTGGGTGGTCTGCTTGTTCTAGTGAGCCTCCTTGGGATTTTGGGTTTTTGTTTTTTAATCTATGCACCTGATGAGCGAATCCTGTGTTTTCACATTTGCAACCTGTTTTATTTCCTAGACTGATCCGTCAATCATGGGTGGCATGATTGTCCGAATTGGGGAGAAATACGTTGACATGTCTGCAAAGACCAAGATTCAGAAGCTCAGCCAGGCCATGCGGGAGATGCTCTGAAGGCTGCCACCTGTGTGAGCGCTCATCCTTGGAGCAATAATAAACCGCTTCCTGAACAGAGGGTGCGGCTTCTTGTCCTTTAAGGGTTTGCAGTGCAAGGTCTTCATCCTCCTGTGGGCTCCTCTAGTCTGGAGGTTAGAACGCCCTTTGGGCTGGAGGATTTGGATAACAAACCAAAGTTTGTTCTTAGGAACTCCTTGATTAAATTAACATTGTATCTACATATACAGCCTACCAAAATCTCATGTCTTTGAGGGGTAGCTGAAGGAGGCCTCTATACTGAAAGGTTTTCTTGATCCTGACATAAAACTCCTAACCATAGTTAGAAGGTAAAACTTAGGTGGGCTCAGGGTCTGAACTCTCAAGACCACTTTGTGCCCCTCATATGAAATCTAGCAATCTTGTGATACGGTAGAACAGATATCTCTCATTTTACACATGAGATTTGTTTAGGGTAACATGGCTGAACCACAGAGTCTGGTCTGCAATCCCCATCTCATGCTTGTTCCCCTTGTGACAGATGGCACACTGACCCCGGCTGGAGCCAGCCAGTCAAGCTAATACACAAGTCCCCATTTCCCTTCTCGCGGTGCCCCTGAGATGCTCCCAGTCCACCTGCAGCCAGACAGCTCCCACATGCTCTTCCCAGAGCTCGCCTCTGAGGCCGCTGGAGAAGCGGGAGCTCTCTGGGTCACCAGTAGCCCCTCCTGGGCCATGCCCAAGAGCGGTTGCCTACAGACAGCTGGTGACTTGTGTTGGCCTCCTTTGAAGGGCCTTACCCAGGGCTAAGTCTCAGCAAAGGGGAAAAGAGGAAGTGGGATGTGTCCGGGTACCCTTCACTACCAGCAGCCTGGCAGTTCACAGGTGGTTTCTTCCAACTGGATACAGATGAGGTGGTGGGATCCAGAGCAGCCAGGCGGGGGGCAAAAGCACTGCGACCCCAGGCTCTTAACACAAGGGAGAAACAAACCTCTGTTGCTGAGCACTGTTGGGCTCGTCTCTCCTGCTGAGCATGATTCCACCTTCCCAAGATTCACTGCCTGCCGGCAAAGCCGCTGAGGACAGGAGCCTCGCATGCTCACTCCAGGGCTCACACAGACAGCACCACTGGTGCGGATTCTCTCACAAGTCCCTGAGAGCAGCACCCAGAACAGCGCCCCAAAGCCTTGCCCACGGTCGTCTTGTGCTATGAAGTTCAATATCCGCACACAGAACGGCGCCCCAAAGCCTTGCCCACGGTCGTCTTGTGCTATGAAGTACATTATCCTGGAGCTGAGTTGAGGCTGGCCATGGGTCTGAGGCAGTGTTGTGCCTCAGAAGTGCTGAGATTCAGCGTGTGCCCCCTCTCCCAGCTTCACAAGGAAGCCCTTCCTAACACCTTCAAACAGAACAGCCTAGTGTCCCATAATCCCAGCACTCATGACTGAGGCAGGAAGATATGGATCTTGAGGTCAGCCTGGGATATATATTAAAACCTTACCTCAAAAAGTGTAAGTCTGATCCAACACTTGGAAGGCAGAGGCAGGCAGATCTGAGTTCAAGGCCAGCCTGGTCTACAGAGAGTTCCAAAACAGCCAGGGCTACACAGAGAAATCCTGTCTCAAGGAAACAAAGCAAGCAGAACAAAATATCAAAACAGCTGGAACGGTGGCTCAGTGGTTAAAAGCACATACTGGTCTTCGAGAAGTCCTGAATTCTGATGCAACACGTATATCAGGCAGCTCACAAACACCTGTGGCCAGTGCAGGCAGCGTGCACTCATGTGTACGTGCCTGTCCCCCCACCATATCACCATGTAATTAAAGATGAAAAGATATATATATATGTAAATATATGTATATATATGTATGTGTATATATATAAATGTAACCATTTGGGTCTTAGAACAAATTACAGTAAATGAAGGTATAGCTAAACAACTCTCAAAACCACACTGGAAGACAAGCTGACAGAAAAAGCAAACAAATTGGAAGGTTTCTTTGAGTTGTGCAATTGAACAGCCCTTTGCATGGGCATGATATGTGTTAACTATTAAGTAGGATACACGTAACATCCTACGTTGGGTGTACAGAAGACAGCACATGAAGGGCACCACAAGTTCACACTGAAGCCAGTTGTGCATGGGGTGTGAGACAGGAGGACCAGGAGTTAAGGTCAGCCACAGGTAACTGTGTGACCCTGTCCAGAAAGAAAAGCCCACTCGTTAAGAGTCTCCAGGGAGTTTTGCTGGGCTTGCTAGGTTTCCTTGGCGCCCCTAACTGTTGTCAGCATTTCCATGCTGTTCTCAGGAACACTCAACACAAGGAGTCTGTCTCAGAGCTGACTGTCTGAGGACACAGGAGAGCTGGAAAGGTAGGGATTGCCATATTTTTTTATTTTATTTTTACATCATTTTTCTTGTACAACTACAACCTTATCTCTGGGAAATAGCCACAGGGAGAGACTCGTTTTCAGGGCTGTTGGCGTCCTGTGTGTCGACAGAGAAGCAGAATAATCTGAGGTAGTGAGGTTGGCTGCTCTTGTTTTATTCGTAAGCTTATGTGATTTAGACCATACAGGCCAAAGCGACCAAAGAATGAGATGCTGGGCCTGGCGATTCCTACTGATGTTGCCACTGTACAAAGAAAGCAGGCAATGCCCTGGTGCCATAAACTGAGCAGGCAAAACAACATTTCACATGTAATAAGGTGCCAAAGGGCATGCAGACATGAGAAAAAAAACAACAAAAAAACACCTTTTAAACAAATGGAAGGGGGCTGGAGAGATGGCTCAGAGGTTAAGAGCATTGCCTGCTCTTCCTAAAGGTCCTGAGTTCAATTCCCAGTAACCACATAGTGGCTCACAACCATCTGTAATGAGGCCTGGTGCCCTCTTCTGGACTGGAGAAAGAATACTGTACACATAATAAGCAAATAAATAAATATTAAAAAAAAATGGAAAAGAAACTTTATGAGCCTGCTTCAGCAGGCCTTGTGCAGATGTAGAAGCCTGTAATTTATAACAATGTCTAATAATCTTTAGAACTCTGTTAGTGTTATAAAGCAGACACTAATCCTTTCTTGAAAATACTGATACTTAGCAACAAGTACACATTACAATGAACTGGACATCCATGGGGGAGTGGCTTAGTTCTGCCACTGCCGGCTGTGAAGAAGCTGCATGCTACCAGCATTGTGACCCGCTACAGAGATCACAAACACCAACCAACGCCATGGGGGAGGGCCCTGCGTTCTCTCATCTGGCTGGTGTATCCTCACAACCTGTGGTCACCCAACCCCAGTGCTCATCATTCCTGGAGAGAAGAAACGGGGTCTCTGCAGACAGAAAAGCCAGAGTTTGTTCTGCACGCTGGCCTGACATGGCCTTCCCAGGCTACATCTGAGCGAGCTAAGTGGCCCCATCTTTGAGACTAGAGGCAGCTACAGAATAGTCATTTTTAGCCTTAGCAGAGTCCAGAAAACATCCTGCAGTAAAGCTGCCCGCACCTCTGCAGGCAGGGCATGGCTTGACTCCAGCATGCGCCAGAGCGGGGTTATTAAGACAAAAAGCTGGCAGTATTCAGAGGCACACAGCTTACTGAAAGAAGTGCTGGCCCAACCCACACACATGCTTGTCCTTTCAATCAGTGGACCCTGGACTTCCTGCAGTGAGCTGGGTTCATCTGTGTCACCAGAAACTGGCTCTTAATCGAGAGGCATTTCCGACCAGGTGGCAAGGCTGGACTCAGAGTCACCACTAATTAAAGTCATTTGTAGATGCTCTCTTGGGGAGCAGGGGCTAGGGGAAGACGTTAGACAGTTTCACAAGCCTCCCTGGGTCATCTGAAGGAACATTCTAGCGGTGCTCAAAAGCAGCCTGAACTTCTGGTATTTTTCTGGAAAGGGTGTAGAGTAGGGAAGGCAGGCCTTTTGCCTCAGCCTGGGCCTTCAGGAAGCCGCATGGGGTACCTGTTTCCCCTGCCTACAAACAGCTGAGCCTGGAAAACCCAGGCTCGGCCTCCCCCCACCCTGAATGCTACTGAGTTCTCTGACCAGGCCACATTCCTGACTAGAGTCCATGTTCTGTGGCACCAGTCTGTTGGAAGACAGGCTGTGTGTCTCACTCCAGAATATGACATCTGCAGGAGACAGCCTGTAGTGTAACAAGATCTCAACCTGGGTCATGGCTACATGGTCCCTCCCATTCTGTCATGCCTCCGCCCACTTCACTAACACCATGTCCCCTGCAAGGCAGAAAAAAACAAATTCACACTTTTGAATTCCTAAACATTCAACTTGGATTTGTCTTTTAATAAAATTGAGTTGGGTTGAACCCAAGTGATCCGATCAGGCATCGCTACTCCTGGAGTATGGTTTTAGGTTTCTTCTATAGTTTATGCACTTAAATTAGATTCCTAAAATACTCTCATATACATACAGAAAAATAATCTCTCAATGAGAAATCACATTTTACAATAACAAGTTAAATATTCAGACTAGAGAATCTGTTAAGTTTACGCAACATTGGGCAGCATAGCCTCTTACATACGGTATATACATATAATCGTCATTCCCCAAAAACATACAGCAGAGATGTCAGGACGAACCACACACAGAGCACAGTCATTTCACGTTATGCAGTGGATTGCTGTCTTTGTCTTTGTTGGAAACTGCATTAGATGCAGAAACCTAGGAGCTGTGAGCTGTTAGACACAGGTCATTTGGTGGAGGCTTCTCGCCTCTGTACAGGTGTGTATGCCCCTCATCGGCGTGTGTGAGGCTGCAAAGCTGCAGAGCTAAGACAGTACAAACCGGTGAATGGCAGCTCACTCCCCTGTACGAGGAGCCGTCACAGGGGAAAGGACTCGGGCTCCCAGTGGGCTGTGTGGACCAGATCTGAGGCCGCTCTCTCAGTTCCAAGATACTTGGGGCCATTAACAACAAGGGCTCCTTTAAATGCACATCTAACCATTGAGACCTTTGGAGAACACTCAGCAAGTGATGGTTTGAGAATGCTGATTAATGAAGTGTGTTCTAAAACAGCCATTAAAATGGATGCCGATGCCGGAGGTGGTCAGGTGTCTCTACGGAGCGTGGCCACGGAAACAGTCTGCTTTTCTTTAAGGTGACTTAAATCCACGACAGGCAGACCTTCTGTCTCTCTTCTCCTCCTCAGTTTTCGTGGTTTTAGTTTTGAGATAGGGTCTCATGAAGCCCAGCCGGCCTTGAACTCCTCTACAACTGAGGTTGGCCCTAAATTCCTGATCCTCCTGTCTCCATCTCTGGAGCTAGAATTACAGGAAGGGAATCAAGAGACTTGAGAAAGATTATTGCTCTACATGTGTAGATTTGGGACTACATCTGCAAAAGGCAAACAGAGCCTCCGAGGGTTTACAGCATCCAATACAAGGAAAGCTATACAGCACAGCAACACACACACACTGGTCTTCCTGGAGCCCTGGTCTTCTAGAACTCAGGGGCTAACACACAGCAGGTTTTCTCCTTTACTAACATCACCCAAGAGCCACACACAAGCCACAAGGGGGGGATCTAGCATGTGAGGGCCCTGCCTCTCAGAAACAAAATCTCAGACACTTGGCCTCTAGGACAGAGAGGCTCCTGGCTCCAACCACTCTTCCTCTCCAGAGATTGGTAGCCTGACTGGTGGCTAAGGGAAAGGCTTTATTTCAAGGCGGAGAATTCACTTTAGAAGGCTCAAAGCCACTTGCTGTTCAGCGACACAGCCCAGACTGGGACCTGAGAAAGCATCAACCATCCATTGACAACCCCCATCCAGTCAGGGGTGCTTGCGATTGTGAGCTGGGGTTCGGCGCGCTCTAATTATCCCAGACTGTTTGTAATTTCAAGAGATAAAAGAATGGCATGTTGAAAAATAGATCACTTTCTGAGTATGCATGAGGCCCTAGCTTTGATCCTTAGCACTGCAAAGAAGATAAAAGAAAAAAAAAAAAAGGAAGGGAGCCGAGAGGAAAGGAGAGATGGCATTACTACCCCAGCTCTACACAGCCTGCCAGGGAGATCTTTCCAAAGGAAAGAGACACAGAGAAGCCCTTCTACATTTACAGTGCAGTCAAAGCAGATCCAGGGTGTGGGGCCTAGACAACTCACGCTCCACACTCAGCAGGACCCAGACAGCTCAAGCCTTTGCCGTCACTACTGAAATCCCCAATCGTTTGGGACAGGGAAGTCACAATTTTTATTTTTGCACCTGGCCCACACTGGTCGTGAATGCAGCGCGGGGAAGCGTGCTCAACGCATTACCTGTCTCCTTCAGCAGGACACACAGCCATACACACTCACTCACAGACACACATCATGCAACCAGTGACTACATCTCACCGTTTGCCACTTAAAATATCAGAAGTTGAAGTCTTAGGGTAGACACTCTGCTGTTCAACTGACTTCTAGAAGTCCTGTGGGAACAGAGGTCTCCTTCAGGCAGTCAGCCCTTTTCTGTGGAGAACTGAGTAGCAAAGTTCTCCTCGGATTTAGACACAGAAAAGGTGAGGAAGTCAAGGAGGTGCTTCTGGCAAGTCCCAGCGCCAGCAGGCAGGAAAACCACCTCACTGTGCCCAGAAGCTTTGGGTTCATGCCAACTTTCAACACTCATTGTTCGGCTAGGTGCGCTCACTCACCTACCAGGTTCTAGCCCTTTCTCTGTCGTTCTCTCTAGCCACTTCCTTCTGAGTCACACAGGAGCAATGCTGTAAAGTGGCAGCAGGGGGAGCCAGCACCCCGGGACCTGCCAACAGAACAATCTAGGAGCCGCAGGACCCTGGAGAAACTGCAAAGGGGAAGGCAGCTTCTGCCGCGCGAGCCACCACACCGACGTTGGCTCCTATGTTTCTGGGGTCCCCACTCTGTTTTTACCAAGAACAAGAGGAAATAAGAAATCTGAGTTTGAGCCGAGAATGGCAAAAGAGCATTGCTGGAGAGGCAGAAAATCACAGGATGGTAGTCTTGCGAATGGTAAGTAGAAGACGGTTCTAGAAGGAAAGAGGCATCTCCATGGCACAAAAAGGAGCCTTGGTCCCTGATCAGTTCTCCAGAAATCCCAGAGGGATGATGGGTATTTTGAAAGCTGACAGAATAAGCCCACTTCTAAATGCAACTCTCCTCGGTGCCCCTTGAACACTAAGATACCCACCATGTGTATATGCGCTTATGTTAGTTCGGGAGCTCTTGCACACGGACCCCCAGATTCCAGCGCTGTCTTCCCCCATAGCTCTGCACCTTATCCTTTAAGACAGGGTTTCTCACTATAACTCACTAGCCAGTTCAGCCAGCCCCCCAGGGAACACAGTCAAGGATCCTCTTGTCAGGGCCTTCCCAGCACTGGGATTACCGGTACATATTGCTGCATCTGGCGTTTTGACGTGGGTGCAGAGGATCAAACTCAGGTCCTCGGGTTTGCACGGCAAGCGCTTTACTGATGGAGCCATCTCCCCAGTCATGGAACGTGGATTTTATGTTATTAAAATGACTTAAAATTAGATTTACATGTTGACTTGAAAGTCAAAAAGATGGCTTCTCTGACTCCCAGCCCCCTGGGCGTACCCTGGACAGAAAGGACGACCCCCTGAAAGAACAGCACACCTTTAGCATTGCTGACCGCATTAGCGCTCCTGATTGTAGACGGGCAGTGCGCTGGCATCTGAGTTTTAATGTTCTCAAGTTAGAGAACCTGAGATCACGGCCATCTTTCTCATGGGTGGTGTTTTCCATGCTTCTCACGGACAGAACCTTTCCTGGCTCTTACAGAGGTGAAGTTATTATACATCATAGTTGGCCCTGGTAACCTACAAAAAGAAACCTCATGCGGTGCCTTGGGAGGAAGCAGCCCGGAACTAGCAACTGCTTTCCAGGTATCGGGGAGCAGGAAAGATGAATCCCTTGGCAACCAGCCAGCGGTTTATTCCGAGTCAGAGCTACCAGGAAGTATTTAGTTTCCTTGACCAGCCCATCATAGGGCAACGTTCATAAATAGGGGTCATTCAAAACAGAATACAGTGCCCAAGAGCTCACAGGAACTTGCCGTTCAGAAGGCGGCTACACCGGAGGTGTGCCTCTGTGACAAGGAGAGAGGGCTAAATTACATCTTCAGAAATATGACTGCCTGGCATGCAGGGGTGGCAGGGGTGGCGAGTCTCCTCCCCAAAGATGTGGTCCTTTAACTCCTAAAAGGAGTGCATGGCAGTGGGCGCCATTAACCTCCACGCAGCTCTCACCTGGCGTCATAGCCTGAGAGGCCCGGGTGCTTAAAGAGCTAGCACAAGCCTGCTCCAAGATCTCTTTTGACTGCCTGTCCCTCTCTTTCTCCTCCCCCCTCTCCCTCCTCCCTGCCTTCTTTCCCTCTTCCCTTTTTCCTTCTGCTTCCCAGCCTTACCTTGACCTTGCATCCCTGGCCCCCTGCAGGTACAGACCCTAGGCAGGTAGGTAATTAATGTAGCTGGAAAAAGTCAAGCACTGGCCCTCCTTAAAGCAAACTGTGCACAAAAGGAGTAGGGGGCACAGGTTGGCATCTTCAGTACCCACACCGGGACACCTTGCTGTTGCCTACTAGTCCAGCAAGGGCAGAACTCTCTTAAAGAAGTGTCCATCACTCACACAAACCAACTTCTGCCCTGAGTTCTGTCCCGGAACATGAGCCTAACCAGATAGCATCCCCAGACATGTCATCGTCAGTGTGTCTCCGGGGAGAACGGATGGAAACAAAGAAAAGACACAAGAATTCAGCCCCAGGAGAGAGGAGGCAGAAGCAGGGACGCCAGAACTACAGCAGGCCTGAACCCCGGAAGGAAAGGCAGAGAGAAAGAGTCTAACACACTTTCAACCTCTTCTAGGACTCAAAACAGCCGAGCAGCTAGACCACAGGTCCTTGGTGTGCAGGCTGCCTCTCTTCGCCTCTCCATTGTGGTCTCAGCCAACTCAGGTACTTCAGCTTGCAAATAAAGCCAGAGAGACCCTGTCCATTTGCCCTGGATTTCAGACTCATGAGATTCTGGACTCCCCCTGGATGCTCTGAGGTCACTAAATTCTACTCCTGCCCAGCCAGCTCCTGCGGAGGTCGCGGCTGCATCACCTGGGAAGACCAACCTGAAATTACCAAAGCCCTTGGCCTCCTGGAGCCACCTCTAGGACTCAGGTTGGCACCAAGTCAGGATAACAAGTACAGGGCATGGTGGTGCACGCCTTTAACTCTATCACTCGGGAGGCAGAGGCAGGTGGGTCTCTTGAAGTTTAAGGTTAGCCTTGTCTACAGAGTGAGTTCCAGGACAGCCGGAGTTAGCCAGAGAAATCCTGTCTTGAAAAACAAGCAAACAAACAGAAAGGTAACAAGCAATGCCCGTGATCCACTGATCCGCTTTCTCTTGGGATGTTTGTTTCCAGTGCAGGTCAATCCTCCCAGGGGAAATCAAGTCTCCTTATATACTGAAGTCATACCTTTGTTTATAAAATTGAAGACAGCTGAGCACAGTGGTACACACTTGTAATTTCAACACATAGGAGGCTAAGGCAGGAGGATCCTAAATCCAAGGCCGGCTTAGGCTATGCAGTGAGGTCCTGTCTCAAAACAAGGAAGAAAAATGTCCATTTCCCATTAGAGTTCTTTGGGAAGAATGGTTTTTTTGTTTGTTGTCCAAGGACAGGAACATATTATACAAACAGCTGATGACGGCATCCCCGCTGTCTAGCACTCCTGGTGGCTACAGTCTAGAAAGATCTCTCATTCCAGCCAGGGCAGACCTAGACCTGAACAAATTACATATGTCTCCAAACTCTGGTGGACACAGCAAATCTGGTCCCAAGAGATAAAGCTATCTGTCCACCTGCTAGGGGGACAAAATATCAGCCCTGCCTCAGAGGTCAGACTTGACCCCTTGGGACAAGTGGTTCGTAAAGAAAACCCAGCGTAGGAGCTTTGGTCCTCAATGCTCTCAGGGTCAGAGCGTAGCCACTTCCCAGGAGAGCCCCTTCCTGAGGGAGAGGAGGTCAGAGTGTGGGAGGTACTGGCAGTGTGGCTCACAGAGGAGAATGCCTCGAGGTGGGGGGGAGGTTTGAAGGGCTAGCATCAGGATGCCAGGAGGCATAGCCTGGACAAACACTGCATACAGCTGGGGTTCAGATCTCTTGTTGGCAAGGACATGCCATTTATATGAAATGCAGCCTGGCTGTTCTAAAAGGGAGACGTGAAGAAGTGGAGAATCAAGGGTTTGTGGCTCTGTCGCCCATGGATCACAGCGGGACTCCCCTGCAGGACTCTGGAGTCATAGCTGGGTCTGAGGGCCAGCCCGACTCATCCAGAAGTACGCTCACTCATGACAAATGACAGTAGCAGATACAAGGACACTAATCCAGATTTGTCAGCTCCCAGGATCACCCCCAAGGATGCCCAGTAGAGTCACCTGGGGAAAAGACCCACAGACATGCTACAACCATGGGATTCTGTGAGAGGGTAACCTAGGACCTACAGGGGCCACCATGCATGCCTCAGACTTCCTACAGGAATATGGACGTTCAACATTAACCTGAAAATAAAGTCGATGAAGGGAAAGGGGGCTAAGGGACAGAAGGGAGGATCAACAGAATGGTGGCTCAACCCTGGCCATTTGCACACTCAACACTTGTTTTTCACACTATGGGAACATGTCCTTCATCAATACACCGAGCAAAGCCTCCTGGGCATAGAAACAGGGAAGCATGAGTTATGGATCGATTTACATGTTTCATTTAAAACAGTTTCTTAATAACATAAAAAGCACAAACGTGAAGCGTTTTGAGTGTTTTCTGCTGGGAAGTGGTAAGCCAGTACATGCCTGAAGCTAACTAAATCTAGCTCGTGTTCGGCTAGAAGCTGCTAACGGAAGAGTTTATTGGTGTGTTTAAAAATAAAATAGGTATGTCTGTTGTTCTTGATACAAAAGTCAACACTATCTTCAATAAATAAATAGTAAGTGTTTCTCGGAAGTATGAAATGTAAACTTTGTTGTCCTTTCCCACATACATTTTTTGAAAAATCACGTGACACACATACATGGACAGGGACCTGTAGGCATGAGGTCACATGAAGCGTTCAGTTTTCAGTAGAGTAGTTATTCTGACACGGGCACACTATCACTTACAAGAGACTTCTAGAACAATCCTGAGGACCTAGCACAGAAAAGACCCCCACCTAACCCAAAAGAACCTGAGGCCAGAATCCAGAGACATGCAAAGAACACTCATGACCACAGACTGGTCATGAGAACGCGACCACGGGAACAAAACTCGGCCCACACTTTCCATCAGCAAAGTAAGTCATTATCTACTTAACCAACCTACCTCTTAGCATTTAAGGAAAAGAAAACCTGAAGTGCTCAGACTAAAAGCTTGGTCTACACACCCTGACTCTGGCAAAAAAAAAAAAAGTGCCTGTGTTTCTATTATTAAAAAATTGGTGTGTGCCCGAGAAAGCTTAGGGGAGAGTTTCCCATCTTCCTACCCCATGTGTGGGGCCCACGTGTTCCCATGGTCTTTCCCCCTTCCCACACCAAGTAATGGATTTTCTTGGCAGCTCCCACCATCTCCCAGTTCCATCTTGAATCCTTTCTGTTTCAAACTTCATCCACGTAAGGCATGACCTCCTGGGCTGAGCACTAAAGGCTGCTGCGGGAAGCTCGGGCTGCTCACCAGACAGACCTTCTCAGAAACATCACAGGGTCTCCAAGGCCAAAGAGAATGTTCCAAGAATAGCCGGCAACCAGGACTCAATAATGTCATCGAGCCTTCCAAGTGCCCCGCAGTAGATTTAGCTCATCAGGGCAAAACTTCGTAGGTAAGGAACTTCATGGCATCAAGGCTTCCCAGGGACCCGAAGTGGATCTAACTCAACAGGACAGAACTTCATAGATGAGCTTCCAGAACCATTCTCCAAGCACATCTTGAACCATCCCATGTGCACCAGTGCGTTTTCGCTGATAACTAATCGAGGTCTGAACAACTCTAATGCACACTTGAGAATCTTCCAATAACAGCTTTCCAGGGGGCCAAGCAGGTGCCTGCCTTAGGAGCCATTATACTGAGCAATCAATCCCGGGCCCCATTTCCCAGTGGAGGCTGGACTCCAAAGCAGCAATTCTGTCATAACCGGACTAAACGCACCACACACGGGGCTTCATAGGTCAGGGAGTCTGCAAAGGGGCTGCTAGAGGTGAGAAATAGGAGGCCTACACAAGTTCTCCAAAATACAGCCCCCACGTTTATAAATCTACTCTGTAGTAGCCAGACCCATGCCTTGGCCCGGAGAAGAATCCGGGCTCCCAAGGGAACCTAGTTCAAGGTTGTGGATTTCTGAGACTCTAGAAACCATGATGGGACCTATACTGAGGACAAAGGAAAAGAGAATTTGGATTCATAAAATGGGACATGGTTTGAAGGGCAGGATTGTCGAGAACTACTCCTAGTAGCCTTGAGGGACTTTGTCTTTGCTGTCCCTGTTGCCCCGGGACTGATCAGCAGACAGTGTGAGGGGCCTTGAGAAGGAAGTCCTCTATGATCATCCCGGGACTGCTATGGTTCATCAAACAACTGCAGGTCAAGGCGGACCACAATCTCTCCCGTGGGGACCTCATGCAGCAGGAGACATTTTGTAACTGGCCCCTTGGAGCCCTGGTCTTTCTTGATGTCAGCCACTCTGATCTCTGTCCGACCTAAAAAGTCTGAAAGGAGAAAAAGCAAAGCATGCTCAGAAACAGTTCCCTGTTCCCAAGGCACACTGGGATTCCGCCTATGGCACAGCCAGGCTCCGCCTCCTCTAGGACCCTTGAGAAGACCAACACTAGCCCCTCCCATTTACTTCCCCGTGGAGTCGCCAATGTGCCCTGATAGGTCACTGCTAAAAACCCATAAAACAAGATAATATATATCCAAGATGATGGGTATACCAACAACTCTGATTTCTTGTTATGCATCACATGCTTTTATTGTAATAACCCACAAATAGAATATATTCTGTATCTACTTTAAAATATATTAATAGAGTCAAGGAGATGGATCACTCAGTAAGAATACTTGCCTTGCAGGCACCAGAGTCTATACTTAAAAAGAAAGCCAGGGGTGGGCTGGAGAGATAGACAGCTAGCAGTTAGAATACATGCTTCTCTTCCAGAAGACCTGATTTTGGTTCCCAGCACCCACATGGTGGCTCACAATCACTTGCAACTCCAGCTCCAGGGGATCCAACACCTCTGCTGGTTCCCATGAGCTCCTTCATGCATGTAGTGCACACAAACTAACATAGGCAAATACACATACCCTGTTTTCAAAGTGTGCAGGGAGCTAGAGGCGTAACTCAGTAGAGTGCCTGTCTAGTATGCATTAGGCCTGGGATTCAGTTGCCAGCACCATATAAACTGGCTTAATGTGGTTTCATGTAGCCCAGGCTGGCTACATGAAACCCTATCTAAAAAAAAAAAAAAAAGAAAAGAAAAGAAGAAGAAAAGAAAAGAAAAGAAAAGAAAAGAAAAAGCCTTCTATGGTGGCACAAACTTGTAACCCCAACACCGAGGAGGTAGAGACAGGATGGACAGCCAGCTGAGCCAACCAGTGAGCTCCAGGCCGGTAAGACAGTTTATCTCAAAACACAAGGTAGACAGCTCCTTAGTGATTATACCCAAGTTTTACATACATACATGCATACATACATACATACATATAAACATACATACAGAGGGCCTGAGATTCAATTGCCAAGTACCCATGTAGAGTACCTTACAACATCCTCTACCTCCAGCTCCAAGAGCTCTGACACCCTCTTCTGGACTCCACAGGTACCTACACACATGACATACACGCATATGCATGACATACATTCACACATACATACACATGATACATATGTATTTAGTTTGGTTTTTTTTTTTTGACATATGGTCTCTGTGTAGCCCAGGCAGTTCTGGAACTTGCTCTGTAGACCAGGCCGGCCTCAGACTCACAGAGATCCTCCGGCCTCTGCCTCCCGAGCGCTGGGACTCAGTCCAGTGCCAGCATCAGACCCTCACTCAGCCCATTGCTGGCTCGGCTTTATTATCTTCCTCTGATAATGACTGGGACTTTGAGCTTTAAACTCATTCTCCGGTTTTGATTTGGCTGAGAGAGTGTGGCATCCTGGATTCACCGGCCAAAAGCCACGACAGAAAGAGCCAGTGGAAGGAAGGATGTGCTCAACACCACTGAAGCTTCTTAGGTCTCCTGTGAGATAACAGCTGATTCTGAGACACCTCAGTGGGCTAATAATCCTCTTCCACTGGTCAGCCTTCTCCCACGTGGTCTACATTTTTCACAGGGTATCCTTATGTAGTCCTGCTGGCTTCCAACTCATAATTCCTGACTCAGCCTTCTGAGTGCCGGGATGATAGATGTGAATCACCAAGTATGGCTATCTTGTTGCTCTGTTAAACATTTACTCATCTATCGTGTGTGTGTGTGTGTGTGTGTGTGTGTGTGTGTGTGTGTGCCCACATGCACGAGCCATAGCGTGTGTTGAGTCAGAGGACAAGTGACAGGAACCCACTATGTCAGCCCCAGGGATCAAAGTCAAGGTTTAGCAGCAAGTGCCTTCACTGACCGAGCCTCGATGAGAGTAGCCAAGGACGGAAACACAAAGCAAACTCCATCGAGGTCTGTAGGCATGCCCTTCCTCACACTGCTTACGTTGGAAAGCAGACCACTATCTAGGGAAGCAGCCAGCCCAAGAGCGTTCTTCCACGCCCACCCAGGGGGCTCCAGCAGCTCCTCACACTACGCCACAGGACCAGGGGCGCCCTGAGGGGTGCCCTGAGGGTGCCCTGAGGGCCACTGCCCACTCACCGTCGGGCGAGAACTGGTCCCTCTCGAACACGGTGATGCAGAGGACGTCCTGCTCCAGGTCTCGGATGAAGAACTGGCAGTTGGAGTTCCACTTGGGGTTCAGCGTGTCCTGGATCGTCTTGGTGATGTGGCACTGAGAGCCCATGGTCACCTCACAGTATGGGTTGCTCTTTCCTGAAGTGAACAAAAGCCCCTGCCAGGTGGGACACGTCTCATCTCCATCCCCCTCGACCTTTGAGATTAACAAGTGGGAAATCTGGAGGACACACCCATAGTTTGGTATCACATCTAGAAAAACAAATCCATTAGCAGGGCTCAAAGTCAGATCCCTCCTATCTGTGCATATACGTCATATGTACTGTATGTCACATGGACTATGAATGAGACCTCTCAGGTCTCCCTGAAAAGAAGGACAATAGAAAAGAATTTACAAAAATTATGTGTGTCTATATATGTATATACATACATATACATATATACATTCATATATATAACTCTTTGACAAGTGCTGGAAAAACAATGCATAAGAAATATCATAAATGATGTCAAGTTCGTTGGGGAGAACACCCCAATACTCTAGAGTGGTTGTGTGGAATTGGTGCCCTTACCATGTGACCGACAGGGCTTCAATTCAATGCCTTCTACAACGTTCACCATCAGCCTTCCAATGCCGGTCGCTCGCTGGGAACGGACTAGACCGCAAGGAAACAACACAAAATGTTTTGTTTCGCATTCGCTGTGATGCCCTTCTCTCCCCAGCATGCCCGCAGTCTGTGCTGTGTGTTTGCCCTCGCTAGAAAGCACAGTCCCCTCCCCCTCCCGCTCTTGGCACCTGCCCTTCATCCACCACCCTGTGCCCCACTTTGCTCTCACCATCTCTGCGCATGTACGTGTCCCAGTCCCAGAGACACGGGGATGGACTCGGTGACCCCTCCCGCCCCAGTCTCTAGGGCCCATTACCCAGGTATGCCTTCTCGCGCTTCTTTTTCTCCGTCTCTATGTAGAGCTCAGAGGCGGCTTTGATTTTCTGCACCCAGGCAGTCCTTGGATGGGAAAAGACAGAATGTTGCCAACAGATCGATCAGAACAGAACGGGCTTGGGGTCTGCTCAAATTCTGCTTTCGGGACTCTTTTTACTTGGTGTATTTGAATTTAACAACAATGTCTCCAAAAAGAAAGACTGATTCTGTATTTGACGGTGCTAATAATTATCTCTGTCATCAGAAAGAAAGACTTTTTTAGGGGGGAGAGGGCTCACAGTTTAGTCCCAGCTGGTAGTGAACTGAGTAAGTAATTAAGGACGACCTTGAACCCCTCTTCCTGCCTCCGCAGTCCGAGTGCTGGGATTGCACGCTCATGATCCCCTTCAAGCTCCCTACTCCCATGGTGGAGGAACAGGCATGGGGCTCCTCTTCCTCCCTCACTGCAAAGCATCGCATACTTGGCGAACCCCGGAAGACAGGAGGTCTTTCTTTCAAAATCGCCCAAGAAAAGAACCATGTTGCACACAGAAGAGCAAAGACCACACGGCAGGAGGCGCTTTGGCGCGCGGGTTTTCTCGGGGTGCCATATGCACAGTAACTTTAGCCAATCTTCTTGCCTGGCAAGAATGTTCTTGGGAATGTTGTTGGCCTTGTGTCCAGCTCGCCCCTCAGAAAGAGATCTGTTCCATTTGGCTCCAGAACGGTCTAAGACAAGACTGAAGCAAAATGCCCGCAACCCAAAGACCCAAATTGCCTTCCCGGGGGCTGGGGGCGGGGTTAGTCCCAAATCACTTTTGTATTGGCTTCTGCCACCTGGGAAACTTGGGGCGATCTAAGCATCTCTGGATACCTCAGAGGCTGCTGAGCATTTCTAAAAGAGAAAAAGAAAGGAGAAAGCCTCGAGCAAAGCTGGTTTCAGTCCATTTTATTTTGAACTAGATGTCCAACTTTTGAGAAGTTAAAAAATTGCATAATACTTCCCCGTGCACTGAGGTGACACAGTTGCGGCTGGGGAACGCTGGGGCACGCTGACAGGTGGCCCTCACCGGCACCGGGGAGGGCTCGGGCTTACCTTTCATTTATGCTCTCTGCTCGGAGGGTGTAGACTCGGTCAATGTGGGAAATGTGGAAGACGGGCTCGTCCCCAGAAGGGTCGGTGGGCAATTTTACTAGGACCTCATTTAAGAAAATAGGCTGCAAAGTAATAATAAAAAGCGTTGCATAACAAGGCGGGGCCTCTGTGTGTTCACAAGCTCTGTGTGTCTGCAACATGATCATATATGCGTGTGCATGCCTGCCATCAATGTCAATAAGCTACACTGAGCATGTGCATGTGTGTGACTCAGTAATCAAGTGAAGGCTGTGTGTTCGAGGGTGTAGTTTGGTACACAGACTATATCAGAATACAGATTTTATGTTAAAATAAGGTATACGGGTGTTTTGCTTGCATGAACGTCTGCACACCGAGTACGCAATGCCCACAGAGGCTAAAGGTGGGGAGGGGTCAAGTCACCTGGAACCGGTTGTGAGCAGCCAAGTGGGTGTTGGAAACTGAACCTAGATCCTCTGTAAGAGCAGCAAGCATTTCTAACCCGTAAGCCGTCTCTCCAGCCCCATTAGCAGTGACGTTTATACAAAGTTTTGGTCATTTTTGGTACCTTTGAAATCTCTACATGTAAGCCCTAACTGGTCCGTTTTCCCTGCATTGCATCCTAAACAGCCCGCAGCTACGAGTCTCTCCCCGGATTTCATACAAAGGCTCCAACAACACTCCACATAATAATAACACTTTCTCCCAAAATAAAGCTAACTGCTGCTCCTGTGAGAACCCTTGAGGAAAGACACCCCCGCAGAGACGAAGTTAGAAAAATAAAATCTCCCTTCGCGTAGCAACACACAAACAGTCCTGCATACACGGGACTTAGCGTTCTGTTCCATGCTATTCTGTTCCATGCTGAAGGTTTCAAACCACCGTGAGAGTTTGTCAGGGCATCTGGGGCAGTATGGAAGGGGCAGTGGATGCTCGGGCTGGCCATGCTGCCTGTTCACTTGTATGAAGTGGGTCATGTTTTTGTCACGTGGGAAGTGGGGATTTCCCACAAATTATGTGTTACTCTGTCCTAGCCCCTCCCCTTATCCTAATCTATTTTAGCTCCTCCCCTACTCTGTCTTGGCCTCTCCCCTTACTCTATCCTAGCTCCTCCCCTTGCCCTATCTTAGCTCCTCCCCCACCTATGTTGGCCCCGCCCCTTACTCGATCCTAGCTCCTCCTCCTAGCCCCTCCTCTTACTCTGTCCTTGATCCATCCTTTACTTTTAGCTCCTCCCCTTTGCTTTCTCCACACCGTCGTACCAAACCCTTAAGAAATGGACTTCTTTTGGACACTCCCTCTACCTGCGACTTAGCTTGAACCTTACCGTTTTGTACATTTTATACTGCAAGTTAGATTTGGGGCTGAAGACTTTGTCGGTGCCGGAAGAGCCTAAGGGCTTTGTGATTTGGGTCAGCAGGAGGAAGTCGTTGAAGAGGAAGCCATAGAGCTCCTTGTTGCTCTTGGCCTTGTAGAGCTTCCCGCTGTGCAGAAACTTGCGTGGCCCCAAGCAGTTGGTCACTGAGTTGAACACCAGTTGCTAGAAGAGGCAAGCAGACAGGAAGGAGGGATGAAGGGAGTCCCGCTCTTGTCTTTGTTTCTCTGTCGCAAAGCCTGAACGCTGGGCCCCAGCAGTTCTGAATCCCACAGACAAACGAAGAAGGACTCTGAGGAGTTCCAGCAAAGGCTCTAGGGTTTCGGGTACCCGGATTAGTCTTGGTTAAATTCTCAAGGCCTTTCTGCTGGGGCTTCGCTCTGCTATCAGGGTGTGGTGGGTGCCTCTCCCCTTCGTTTATAGAGAAGTGGGGCACCAGGAAGAAAGCTGGCTCACTAGCTCTCCCCTTGGCTATCTGTGCCATGTGGGGTGCTGCACTTTATTCTCAATAGCTAGAACCAGCTCCAACAGGAAATCCCCGCAGGGCTCAAAGAGTGCCCAGGGCTTCTGAAAAGTGGCAGAACTCATGAAAAAGTTCGTGGACAAAAGCTACTTTCCCACATGGAGAGTCCAGACCCCGGGACTAGAGGGGCTGCAAAATTGGTGGGGGTACCAAGTGACCCCTCGAAGCCCTACACAGCAGTGTGGTGCATGCTGAATCTCACCCCACTTACTAGTTTAGAAACTGTGCAGGGAATGGCTGCCTTCCTCCACTCACAGTTGAGGGGCAACTGGGGATGCTGATGCCCGACCCCAGCATCTCCCTGGAGGCTGCCATCTCCAGCCAGCCTATGGCCCACATGACCTCATATGAGACAGACTCTTCAGCTGTCTTCAAGAGAAAACTCTCCAGATCATGATGGTAACACACTTCTCTAACGAAAATATCTGGGAAGAGGCCATGGAGCTCACAATAATGTCCCCTAAGAGATGTTGGTGGCTACGCGCCCACTTCTGATGTGGGAGGAAAACTGACAGTGATTTGGTGACCAGAGAGAGACCCAGAGGTGACAAGAGTCCATTCTACTTGACTCTTAGGTCTAAGGATGGAGGACCTCTAATCTCCCGGCTGAGGCTCTGAGGGAGCCTGGAAGGCCCATGGAGACAGCCCAACAGGAGGTCTCTTGATGGGCAGGAAGGATAGACTGATCTCAAGGCACAAGGCAGATCACAAACTCTCCAGATGTAGGGGCACACTTTCTGTTTTCTAATGTGTATGAGTGCTTTGCCTCTGTAAACCACATGCATGCCGGTATCAGTGAAGCTCTGAAGAGGGTGTCCCCTCCCCTGGAATTAGAATTATAGGTAGCTGTGATCTACCCTGTGGATGTTCAAAACTGACCCAAGGGTCCTCTACAAGAGCAGCCAGTGAATGCTCTCAACTGCTGAAACTCTAGGGGCCCCAATCTTTCTCTCTCTCTCTCAAAATAGCCTTGGGATTGAGTTCTAAACAATGGCATGTGAGCAGATAATAAATGGTTCTTTGTGTATATGAATGAGTGAGCCAGCCAACCAAATATTGTCCCTGGGTTCTAAAATGAGGACCCACAGCCATCTCTTCAGCTTCTGCAGGGCTGCTGATACTTACACTGAGGGGGCACACTTACACTGTGGGGCTGGGAGGATAGGGCAAGGGTGGCCTCCATGCAGTGAGAAACCACAGGGAAGGAGGGTGAGTGAGATACATTCTCCCTGGGTGTTTTGGGAAATTCTAGCAACCTGTACATATACATGTATGTATGAGTGTACATGTATGTGCCTGCACACCCATGTACAGAGAAAACACAAGCAGAAAGAATGAGAGCAAAGGTTACAGGACAAGGAGAGCATGAAACCCAGCAAAGACGAGTGTGTGGGTTAGAAATCCAGATGACTCACCAACACAGGCTTTTAAAAAAGAGCAAAATGCAAAACACCTTGAAAATGCAAGCTGGTCAGAAAAGAAAAAAAAACTGAGAAAAAATGAGCAGATCCTCAAAGCAGAATGGAAACAAGATCATTAGAAGACTAGACTTCAAAGGTAGTGTTAGCCCTGAGCGCCCTTTGGACCTGTTGGCACTGAGGCTCCACTGAGTGGCAGGGTGATGGGAGATGAATCCAAGACTGAGGTGAAGGGCTGGGCAGAGTGACTCTCCAAAGCCGGGCTGGACGGCGCCTGACTCGATGGCACCGGGCTCGACGGCGCCTGACTCGACGGCGCCTGACCCGATGGCGCCTGACTCGATGGCGCCTGACTTGACGGCGCCTGGCTCGACGAGTAAATGGCAAACTGAAGTGAGGAAGAAATAGGCAAGGAAACTTTGCTGGTTTCGGCTTTGGTACGTGGAGGTGAACATGCTTCCTGGACTCTGCCCACTGGGCAGCTCTCATACAACACCATGGCTGTAATTCACCTGTTCAATGTGAGCCCCAAATTCCCTCTATATATAACATGGGGTGGCCGAGGTAGCAATCCACTCAGGGGAAATGCAAGTTCAAGCAGCAAAGACAGGCATGCGGGAAGTTTCAAAAAAGCAAGTAGTTCACGGTCAAAATTCACAACATAGGAGCCGAGAGTGTGGCTCAGTAAAAGATACTTTAACCGTCATGCAGGAGACCCTGGGTTTGGCGGCTAGTACAGAAAAAAAAAATCACAGAACAAATAGAAAAATAAGGCATGCTGATTGAGCACTATCAGAAACAACAGGTGAAAGAATATGACCCTTAGATACTGGAATGATCAGATGTTGAAATACATACGAATACATTTTAAGTGTGTTAAGAAACAAACAAGAAACATGAACATTTAAACAAGGAACAAGACACACAAATGAAACTAGAACATTTGAGAAAATAAATAAATTTTTGGCAATGGAAAATATAACAGAAATTAAAAATACGCATTGGTTGCGTTACAGAGGAGCAGAGAGGCAGCTGTGATGAGGAAAGAAAATGGTCCATTTTCTCATCCCTTCTGTGCTTCCTGCCCTCGCTCAGCTGAGAGTGGTCCAGGTCCCGCCCCGCCCCGCCCCGCCCCCCCCCGCCCCGCCCCGCCCCGCCCCGCCCCGCAGGTGCCTACCTCAGAAAGGCCCTCACACTGCACGTGGGCTTGGATCCACTCCAGCCGGTCCGAGTTTTCCTTCTCTCGCACCCCCTCGTTCACCTGGGAACACAGTTCTTCTGCCTTCTCCAGGGCATGCTTCAAGTGGCTGTGGTCGGGGTGGTTTTCAGGGGTGTTTTCTAGGATCTATACGGGAGAAGGAAGGGCAGCAGCAGCCTTGTCAGGCTGCTTTCCACAGTGGATGGACCTGGTTCCTGCATGGTGCCCACCACAGCCATGACTCGGAGTGTAAAGACCACTCTGCATTGACTCCATTGAGTAGCCTTGGACTTGGCAGGGGCTATACTTGGTGCAGGAAGGTGATCCTGCCCTCGAGCCTTTGGCCCAACCTCATACCCTTGAGCAAACCGTGATCTGTCCTGCAGAATGCTGTCCCCCCAGCATGAACGCCAAACCACACACATACACACTCCGGATCTGTGGTGGCGTACACAACTGTGCAGCTAGAAGGGACTCGGAATTTCTGTTCTAAAAATCTTCACTCTATTTCACAAAGAAAGAAACTCAGCCAGAGACCAGGAACAGACGCCAGGCTTCCCTGCTGGCACCAGCAGCTGTTCCTCCCCAGCTCCCTCGCCTGAGGGAGCCAAGGACCGAATTGGGTGTTGGCACTGAACAGGCTCCCATGAACTCACAAGTATGTAGGGCACCTTAAGGTGAGGTGGGGCAATGCCATGCACCATACACTCGTGACCTCTAGAGAACATACATAGCTGTATGTTCCTGTGCATCCCGGGAATCAATCCGGACGGTTCCCCTGAACAAATATGCATGTTTTGTGTATGTATGGAGACACATGTGTATGTATGTGCGTTCGCTAGTGGGTGGAGGCCAGAGGGCACCTCCAGCTGTCATTCCTTAGGAACCAGCTTCCTCATTTGTGAGCTAGCAAATAAAAATCAGCCCGTGAAAGACTCAGTTATCTGAACCTCTGTGCCACTGAGTCAGCTCTCGGGTCTTTCTCTTAGCTGCTCCGTGGGGCAGCAACAACTGTGTTCTACTAATGCTAGTGTGTGCTTTCCTGTTAAAAGTCAGTGCCTCTTGGTTCCTGATTTTTAGTTTTCTCCTGGTCGGTTAAACCCACTTCAAAGGCTTATTTCCTGCATCAGTGCATAGCTACACAGAGAAGGCAAGGAGCGAAGACAGGAAGACACTTCCCAGAAGAATGAACTCGGGAAATGTGCTACTGTATGGTGTGGTCGGAACTGGGTCAGTCTGAGGCTTAGGTGGGAGGGAGATGGGTTACACATGGGAAGCCTGAACAAATGCATACACTTCATGTGCGTGTACACGTACACACACACATGTGGGGAGGGGCACCCACATCCCAGAGTAGCCATGAGCATGCTCCTACAGTTAGGTTTCTAAATGCTACTCAAATAAAGGAACCAATTTCTACCTCCCTGGGGAGCCAGTTCCTTCCCCTCCAGCTCCATGGCTCAGAGGGCAGTCGAGCCTGCTGCTCATTTCCGGGTGTGGAAACTTGAACCACTACTTCTGTTTTCTCTGGAACTGGCTTTCTTGAAAGACCAGGAGGAAACAGGGGTCTGGTATTGGGAAGAGCATCAGGGAACGACCTTCCTGAGACAGACGCTAGGAATTGTGTTTCTCTCTCTTTGTGGCTCCAAACTCTGCACAGAGGCGCTGTGCCAGTGCTGGGACCGCACTGAGAACAGAACTCTCATCCTCTGCCTTCGAAGCCACTTGGTTGCCATCTGAGGGCTCTGTTTTGTTAGTCTTTTTCACACAGAACCATCTTTTCCCTCCCAGTTACCAAGCAGATGGCTTCAGCACCCTGTGAGCATATGACAACCCCCAGGTGCACTGGCTGGGAAATTCATCCCTGCCTCCAGTCACCTCTGGCAACCTCCAGCTGCCGCCAGCCTTCCTCCGCCTGCAAAGGCACAGGTGGTGGTACTTACATTTTTAATGATCAGCGGGTATCTCGTGACGCGCTGCATAGGCTTCAGGATAAAACTGGACAGTGGCATCCCTTTGCACCGAGGGTCCATTGCCAGTCTCTAGAAGAGAAGAATGTTTTTTTTAAAATGTGCATTAGAAATCTGCAAAATCTACAGTCAGTCAGTAACATTGCACCCGTCATTTAGGACTCTCTGGCCATTACCAATCCATCTGGATAGTAACTGAGAAGCCTGGAGTTGGAAGGCATTGTCCAGCTGTCATGGTCCAGGCTGAAGACATTTGCAGAGGGAGGACATTGTGCTGGTTTGAAAGAAAATGGCCCCCAAAGGGAGTGGCACTGTTAGGAGGTGTGACCTTGTTGGTGCTGTGGGAGAATGCTCTTGTACACTGTAAATATTTATCACTCTTATTGGTTTAATAAAATGCTGATTGGCCAGTTGCCAGGCAGGAAGTATAGGCGAGGCAACCAGACTAAGAGAATTCTGGGGAAGAGGAAAAGCAGAGACTCAGTCACCAGCTGTACATAGAGGAAGCAAGATGAGAATGCCTCACTGAGTAAAGGTACCAAGTCACATGGCTAAGCATAGATAAGAATTATATGTTAATTTAAGTTGTAAGAGTTAGTTAATAATAAGTCTGAGCTAATAGGCCAAACAGTTTATAATTAATATAAGCCTCTGTGTGTTCTCTGAGGGGCAGCAGAACTGGGTAGGACAGAAACTTCTGTCTACAAATGGCACCCAATGTGGGCCATGTACACATGACCCTGAGATTAAGAGTCTCATGCTCTACTAACTGAGCTAGTAAAGCCAGCCACCAAAGCCACATCTTTAATACCAGGCTTATTGCTTAGCAGACTAAAGACTCATGTGTTCAGAAAAAGATAGAGATATACAATAAAGACAGATTCAGATGAAAAAAAACTCTAAATGGTTTACAGTATGTTTAAAAATATACGTAGACTTGGGAGAGAGAAGAAAAAGAATAGAGAAAGTCCTTTAAAAAATAAAAAAATAGAGTAGTCAGTAGAGGCGCATGCCTTTAATCCCAGCACTAGAGAGAAATATAAAACTGGAGGATTCAGATTCCACTCACAGTCTCATTCTGAGATTCCTGGAGGCAGGATCACCATTTCAGACTAAGGTAGAGGTAAGAGCCAGTGGCTGGTTATTCTGCTTTTCTGACCTCCAGGTTGAACCCCAATATCTGTCTCTTGGTTTTTATTAATCATGCTACATGTTGGAGTAGGTGTGGTCTTGTTGGAGGAAGTATGTCATTGTGGTGTGGAGGCGGGCTTTGAGGTCTGGTATATGCTCAAACCACACCCAGTAAGACAGACCACTTCCTGCTGCCTGCAAGTCCAGATGCAGGACTCTCAGCTCCTTCTCCAGCACCATGTCTGCCTGCAGGCCATCATGTCCCACCACGATGATAATGAACTAATCCTCTGAAAATGTAAACAACCCCATTTAAATGCTTTCCTTTATAGGAGTTGCTGAAGTCACGGTGTCTCTTCACAGCAATAGAAACCCTAACTAAGACAGATGAAGACTCTCAGATGTGGGCTCTCCACACCCTGCCTCCAGACTCAGTATACCTTCCCTGAGAGGAGATTCTAGCTTCAGAATTTCTTCCAGATATCTGAAAACCTTTGTGATATCCCAGGGGCCCGAAAGAGTCAAGACTATGAATGAGAGCAAAAATCCCACTAAGTGCTAGGGAAACCAGAAAGACATAAAATCGTCTCATTTCAGATGTATCTAATTCCCGAGTAGGTTTCAGTGAGTCCTGGGCCGGGCTAGATGGTAGAGCCAAGACCTGGGGTCCATGACTCCAGTCTGGGGTGGGCCCTGCCATGAATCTTCACCTCTTGGTGTTTTTCCTCTTACCACTTTATTAAAAAAAGAAGCATTTATTTATTATTTATGTGTGTGTGCATATGTGTGTCCTTGTGTGCTTATGTGTCTATGTATGTATGTATATATGTGTACATGCGTATGTGTGCACATGTGCATCCTTGTGCGTTTATGTGTACCAGTGTATATATGTGTACATGTGTGTAGGTGCACATGTGTGTGTCCCTGTGTGTTTATGTGTGCCTGTGTGTGTATGTGTACATGTGTGCAGGTGCACATGTGTATCCCTGTGCATGTGTGCACATATGTGTAGGTGGGTGCACATGGAGGTCAGAGGCGACTCTGGGAGCTGGCTCTTGCCTACCTTTCTGTAGGTTCTAGGGCTGGCTTGACGCTTGACCAGCAATTGCTTTACCCTGGATCACCTTCCCAGCCGCCCAACCTCCTGCCACTCCTGCTAACTCTGTCAACCTCTCCAGTGGACAGGAATTCTTCTACCACAAAAAGGAGTACCTCACCTGCCCGCAATAAAGATGTCTGGGGTCCACTTTAATTAATGCCTTAGGCACAAACATCTAGAGTTCTGGCACCATCAGTCTCTGACCTGGTGTCAGTTTGTGGTCGCCATCATTTTGGAAACATAGGAGGCAGAACTCCCATCAAGCGAGCAACAACAGTGAGAAGGACTGGAGGGGAGAGGCAGCAACCCCGCCTGGGCTTCCATCAGCCTGCCTGAGCTAAGGCAGGGATGGACACATTCTGCCCATGGCTGGGAGCTGAGCTCTTGGCTGAAGTTACAGCAGCCTGTGGTGCTAGCTTCCTGGCATCTACCCTCATCTTCATCTCAACCTTGTCTCACTTCTTAGCCGTGGCTGTCCTCAGAATGCCTCATTCTCTGGCTAGCACAGCAAAGCAGAGAAACACCAGAGCAGAGGACACTGTGTGTATGGAGGTTCTGATGAAGATGTCACAGTGATGATTCAGGGAACGTGAGTCCCGAAGTGAGAGTGACCCCCCGACACCAAAAGCCGGGGCACATAACTGTGATGATTCAGGGAGCATGATTCCTGAGGTGAGGGTGACCCTCTACCACCAAAAGTCGGGCACAAAGATATGCTGCTCATTCTGGAAAAGACACTTGTTTCCAGGAAGTCACTAATTCTTCCTGTTTTCTTTCTTTCTCCTGAGAGAGGTAAATGCTGCTTGAGGGCCCCTGTGACTAGTATGGACCCACTCTGAGCCACACCAAGTACCAGGGCGAATAGCCTAGTGCAGACACCTCTAACAGCCTTGGCATCAGCTCTGCAAATGTGCCCTGGTGGACATGGCTCTCTAGACTCTGCTAGCCTTACAGCAAGGCTGTGTGAGACCCATGGGCTGCCCAGAGCTCAAGTGCTGTGGGATCCTGTATACTATAAATATGTGTTGTTCTCATTGGTTGATAAATAAAGCTGCTTTGACCTGTAGCAAGGCAGAATAGAGCCAGGTGGAACATCCAAGCAGAGATACAGGAGAAGAAGGATGGAGTCTGGGAGACACCATCCAGCAGCCCAAGGAATAACATGCCAGTAGACTAGTAACGTGACAACCATGTGGCAATTCGTAGATGAATAGAAATGGGTTAATTTAAATGTAAGAGCTAGCTAGTAATAAGCCTGAGCCATTGGCCAACCATTTAATATTAAGCCTCTGAGTGGTTATTTGGGAACTAGTGGGCGGGAGAGAAACCTCTGATTCACCCCAGCCCATGACTCTCCAATGGAAAGGAGCAGTGGTGGCTGAGCTTGACACATCTAGGGAAAGGGACCCTCAGTTGAGGAACTGTCTCCATCAGATTGGCCTGTGGGATATTTTTTAAATTGCTAATTGATGTAGAAAGGCTTGGTGCACTCTGGACGACCCAATCCCTCAGTCGGTGGGCCTGGGCTGTTTAAAAAAGGTAGCTAGATATGATCCTGAGAGCAAGCCAGGAAGCGGCATTCCTCCAAGATCTTCGGTTTCTGCCTCCAGATCCTTGCTGTGAGCGCCTGCCTGTTCCCCATAATGACAGACTCTTACCTGCAAACCAAAACAACTCTTTCCTTCCCCTTTGGTCAGAGTGTTTTATTCCTGCAACAGGAAGCAAGCCAAAACCGGGACCAAGGTGCTATGGGGACCCTGGGTATTCCCTCTGAGCCCAGAAGGCAGAGGCTGGCAGGGAACTAGGAATATTGATGCTAACTGAAGGGGGCCCCTGTCTGCATGAGGCCAGAAAATGAAATGAAGGAAGTAGACACACTTCTTAAAAATACCATGGCCACCTGGAGAACATATCCCTGAAGCCATCCGAAGCTTTCAAGCCCAAGGGTGACTCTCCTGTCTGAGCACGCCCCTTGGTGTGAACCACACCTGCAAGTTCAGTGCCCCCCACGACTTCCACCGATCCCCAATGGCCTTCGGTGGAAAGCTGCTTGCGGACTTGTGACGAACCCCTTAACATCAAGATGGCACTATGGAGAGGGTCCCCAAGTCTCCCGATAGCCCCGACTCCCTTACTTTGACGAAGTCCTTGAAGTCGGGGGCCTCGTCGGTCTTCTGCTGGATGAGGGCAGCCCCATTGAGCTGGCAGCTGCAGAAGCGGATGTAGGGCTGCATGTGGGGCAGCTGGGCACTCAGGATGTCGCCGATCATCTTCACGGGCATCTTCTCTCCGGACATCTTCTTACGGACTCTCAGTGCTCTGCACGGAAACATGGCAGGTGAGCTGCCCACCCCACACCGCCTGACACGCCCCACACCGCCTGACACGCCCCACCCCTCCAGGTTGCAGAGATATGGAATGAGCGGGAGGGACATGGACCTGGGGCCCACTAATGCATCTATTTGGGAGACAAGGGTCATAGAAGGACATGAGCTTAGTACAATGGAGAGGGATCGCCTGGGCGGTTTTCTTCAGCGTGGGGGCTGTTACATTTTTTTCTTTCTTTGTTGCCCCCCTGCATTATCTATGGTGAATGCCCCAGGCTGGTTCAGTCTGAGCACAGAGCCATTTCCGGGACCCTAATCTTCTGAGGAAAGTGACGTCACCATCGGAAGGAGAGACAAACTTTCAAATCCATTGCCACAATCTCAGTGTGTTTCTCAAAGTTTCCCAAAGTTAGGTAAAAATGATCACATGAAGTATTTCTCCTGTCCATGGCTTCATTGATGTGTCTAATTTAAAGCTGACCAGATAAATAATCATGAAAAAACAAAGTCAAACAATTTCCTCCCTGAAAGCTGGGAAAAGCTGCTAAGGGACAGGGAGCGTTCCTTCCCGGGTCTACCTGCTGCATGTAGCATTCAGGGCCACGGCAGCCAGGATGGAGCGTCCTTCCTTCCATCTCTAAAGTGTGCAGTCTTACCACATGGGAGATGCTCAACTTCCACACAGTGAGGGTACTAAGACACTGGGGCCAGACCACGTGTGAGACTGCGTGTTCAACCGCCCTAACGATGGCAGGAGGGTGGGTGAGGGGTGGATGGTACAATATGGGATTTCAACACAAGGCTGGAAGCTATCCCACTGAATTTTTGTGACTACTTTCATGGTCACAGTGGCGAAACCATGAGGTGTGGGCAAGGCTCCGCAATTCCAAGGAGGCTCCACCATCCAAGTCTCCAGCTTTAAAAAGTGCAGGCCATTTGCTTTCTTTATCCCTCTTTTTTTTTTTCAGCTAAAGAAATTTTCCTCGTCTGAGGAAAACCAAGGAAGGAAACTTGGGACAACAGGTCACAGAAGAAATCAGCAGTTTCCGTTCTGGTGCGTGCTCCTGCGGGGCAGGTAGGCAGTGGCCACGTGGGCCTGAGCAGAGCAGCAGCCTGGGGTCCTCGGGATGGCCCGAGGACTTCGTTCCACTGGAGGGATGTGGGAGTGTCCCCGAAGAACTTTGCTCCAGCATTAGCCACTGGTAATTTTGGAGGCTGAGAAAAGAATGACCACGTCACAGCTTGCTAAGATCCCTTCGATCCCTTGTTTCCTCGAAAGCAGCTTTTCTGGGAGGATGAGACAGGGATCTCCCCTCTTTCTTCTCCTTAAACGATGGGGGAAGATGAGAAAGGGTGGGTCTGGGGGCAGAGCTCGCACGTTCATGGTCACTGTCTCAGGATGTTGTCATCCCTGGGATCTGATAGAGTCGAGTTGTCTAACCAGGAAGTCAGCTTGAAATCATAGCCTGGCTTACTGCTACTAGGATCAACTGACAGTCTCTTTCTAGAATGTTCTGCATGGGTCAGAGGTGAAGAAGAGGGTGAGCCAGTGAGTCAGCTGTGGTAGCCACAGTCCTGAGAGTACCGAGACCTTGGTGAGCGGCTTCCTCATAGAAAGGGCCGTCCACACGTGAGAGGCCTTGATCTGCAGTGGGGAGCGGTCAGCTAAGAACGTCCAAGTTACGAAGCAGTCACCAGTGACCGATGACACATCGGTGGCTCCATCTAATGTCCACAGACAGAGTGGACAGTGACAGCCAGAGTCCCAACATCTGTTATCGTAGGTCCCAGGGTCCAAGGTCAGATAAGACTGTTGGTCACTCTTCTCCCCCAGTATCATTACACAGAACCTTCTAGCACTATGAAGCTAGCCAGTATTATAGGTACACCTTGATTTCTCTGCCCTGTGACTCAGGTATGTGCTCTCATCAGCGGTAGGGTCTTATCATCAGATTCTGGGGGACGACCGTGCTGGACAGTTTTCTATCAGCTTGACACAAGCTGAAGACACCCGAGAGGAGGGAACCTCAGTTAAGAAAATGCCTCTGCAGCATCAGGCTGGAGGCAAGCCTGCAGGCCATTTTCTTAATTAGTGATTGATTAGGGCAGGCCCCACCCACTGTGGTTAATGACATCCCTAGGTTGGTGGTCCTGCGGTCTATAAAAAAGCAGGCTGAGCAAGCCAGTCAGCAGCACCCCTCCATGGCCTCTGCCTCAGCTCCTGCCTCCAGCTTCCTGCCCTGTTTTAGTTCCTGTCCTGACTTCCTTCAGTGATGAACAGTGATGTGGAGGCAGAAGCCAAATAAACCCTTTCCTCCCCAGATGCTTTGGTCATGACTGACCTCGCTGCCAAAACAGTTTAGAGGCGCTGGGAAAACCCAGGACTCGGGGCTCTGATAGGCTCTATGGGGAAGGCAGAACTGAGGGGAATGCCATCACTGGGGCTGGGCACAGGCAGGCCAAGACCAGGAGCATTGAGTGTCCTCTGTCCTCCTCCCCTTATTTTCGGAGACAAGGCCTCTCACCCAAACTCGCTGATTCAGTTAGACCGGCTCGCTAGTGAGTCCCCGAGATTCTCCCATCTCTGTCCTCCAGCTCTGGTATTACAGGAACACGCTTCCACACCCGGTTTTTATGTGGGTGCTGGGGATACCAATCAATCCCCCTAAACATCTTCCCAGCTCCCTATATATATTTTGTTTTGTCTTGTTTTGTTGTTGTTGTTGTTGTTGTTTCGAGACAGGGTTTCTCTGTAGCTTTGGAGCCTGTCCTGGCGCTAGCTCTTGTAGACCAGGCTGGCCTCGAACTCACAGAGATCCGCCTGCCTCTGCCTCCCGAGTGCTGGGATTAAAGGCGTGCACCACCACCGCCCGGCTCTATATGTATGTTTTAATGAAAACTTTGGTGTCTATTTTCAAACCGTGTGCCTCTAATACTTCACGTGCAGTGCTTGTAGGTTCAGGGATCAACAGCCCATTTCTCCCAGATGGCAGGTGGGCTCCCTCCAAATGGGGGTGTGTAGTGATATTTCATTTGTATTTTAATAAATAAAGCTTGCCTGAAGATCAGAGAGTAAAGCAGTTCCACTGGTCAGCCTTACAGACCAGGCAGTGGTAATACACATTTAATCCCAGTAGCCACACTAGTTTACCATAGAAACCGGGTGGTAGTGATGCATGCCTTTAATCCCAGTCCTAGAGGGGAATATAAAACCAGAGGAGACAGCTCTCAGACAGCCTCATTCTGAGATTCCTGGAGGCAGGATCGCCATTTCGGACTGAGGCAGAGGTAAAAGCCAATCACTGGCTGTTTTGATTTTCTGAATTTCAGGTTGAACCCCAATATCTGTTTCTGGGTTTTTATTAATCGTGCTACAGGGGTGAGTACTCGGTTCTCCCCTGAGCCCAGGGCCCGCTCTCTGTACTTAGCTGAGCCAGGAACATGTTGTGTGAAGGCCTCTGGAATATGAAAGCATAGACATTGTTTACAACCTGGGTGTGGTTCGAACCCTTCCACAAAGACCTGAGGCTAGGAGCTTGGGGTAACACTGAGTGGGTGGAGGCTTCAGTAGGCAGCCGGGTCATCGGGTGCACTGGTGTTTGTAATGGGTGTTATATTGATAAATTGTCTGTTTTGGGCAACTTCCTGGGAGGCTGGCCTGAAAATAAGATTAGCTCCCCCAATTCAGAGCCAGGTATGTTTGTCTCAAAGTCTCCTCAAGACCTCTTGTCTGTGGGTGTGGCTGCCCTAACTGTGTGGCAGGAAGGGAGAGAACAGTAAGACATCCCAAGAGCAAACACTCCGCCTGAAGGTGCGCCATCTCCCACAGAGGCCACTTCTGTTTATCCCCGGTATAAAAGTGTCTGCGGTAGGAGGGAACTCTGGCTGATGCCTCAGTTTCCCCTGGATACTGTAGGAGCCCGATTTGATGATTCAGCACTAACTGCTGTTGGTTCTTGGAAGCCTCACCAGTGGGGGACACTTGGCTCTAGCCAGGTCTCTCTCTCCTGAACTCCAGCTGGCCTCAACAGAACTTCCTCTGTTGGTTTCTGCTAGATACTGTGAGCAGCTGCTTTGATGAGGTTCTGGCACCCTCATCTCACATTCTTTCTGAGTACCTACCTACCTACCAACCTACCTACTAACCTACCTACCTATCTACCTACGTACCAACCTACCAACCTACTTACCTACCTACATCCTGCTCTTTATTCATTTACCTTGGCTTGCTACTTAATAGATTCATAATTTGGGACCAAAAGCACAACTGCTGTAGATCAATCACTTTGGACCACGCACAGCACCCTTTGAAGAGCCTCTTAGGGCCCTGGTTAATTCCTTTCAGAGAAAGCTATTACAGAAGAACAAGTCAGATCCCAGCCTCTGGTTTCCTGACTTGCCACATGACCTCTCCTTTATTATTGGCCATGAGACCCTCACCTAAAGGCTGTTGTGCTAAATAAACATTATTTTCTTTATTTATGGAGATGATAACCTCAGGTTTTTGTTATAGGCACAGAAAAGAGTAAGAAAACTGCCATTTTACAGATGTGGACACAGAGGCCAAGAGATTGACCGTAAAGCCACTCAACCAAAGGCATAGAGCCAGAGAATAGCAACGAGAAGTGAGCCCAAGAGTCGGCCACCCCACCTATGCACAGAGAGCTTCCGCGGTGTGAGCGTAGGCACGGAGGGAGCAGACGCCACGCTTATTCCTTCATGCTCGCTTCTCTACACCTCCTGGCTCCCTCTCCCCAGCTACTCCAATTACAGACCCAGGAACCTGCAGTTACCGCACAAGTACACAGCAACTGGGCTCAGGACATGGCAGCTTCTCGGTGACCTGAACATAGAGATCAGGAATGAATAGGGGTATCTGAGGACTGTCTGCAGTGCTCAGTCAGAAAGAAGTTGGAAGGGGAGCTCTTGCTCCCAGTTGCCATGTCCTCTCCCTGGGGACCAGAACTTAATCTGCTCTCTCAAGCAATGTCACACATAGGACATTGCTTGAGAGATAGGATATAGGATATATATCTATAGGATATAGATCCGGGGTTCTGATGGATTTTGATTTTGTTTTTAAAGAACTGGGGGAATCTTTATTGTCTAATTCAATCCTCTAAGTGTGTAGATGGGGAAACTGAGGCATAAAGAGGTGAGGTCTAAACCCAGGTCCCTTAGCTCTGACCCTGCAGCAGCCTCTGCAGACTACACAGGTATAAAGTATAATTGGCCTCAGGAAGCAGCAGGAACCTCCTGAGATCCTTTCCCATTCCACACGTTCCCTCTGCAGTCCAGAGCCTCACAAGACAGACAATCCCTGCTTCCCAGGTCTGAGGCTAGGCCCTGGGGCTAGAACTGCTCCACCCACAAGGATGGAGCCAGCCAGCAGTCAGAAGTCAAGACTGTCCCAGCTAAGGAAAATCTGCCACTATTGTCAGGGTAGGAACCCGCACGCCTGGGCAGTTCACGCCCCACTGTGAGGACTCCATAGTGTATTTCCAGGAGGGACCGGAGCACAGGAAGGTGAGGGAACTTTGAGAGGCAATGGCTGGGCTGGGGTGGTGGCAGAAAGAGACCCAGGGCAGCATGCGTGAGGGACAGACGGACTACACAGCGTTGCTGGTGTACATGCCAGGGAAGTGAGAGGGAAATGCTTACTTCAGCAGTTTGATATTACACATGATCAGCTCCTTCCAGTTAACAAAAATCATAGCAACCTCTTTTTCTGTCAGCAGCTCAGACTCCATCAGGGGTTTCTGAAAGACCTACAGGTGTGGGAAAGGAAGCCGTTCAGAAAGCAAACAGTTAGCTCAACACACACACAGACACATGCACACATGAACGCACGCACACTCGGGCATGCTCGCTCAGCTTCATTTAGCACGCACAAGGGAGAGGACTCAGAGACTTCACCTTCTCCTGAGAGGACAAGGGTTTGACAAGGGGAACCCAGGAGAGGCTCCGAGGAGACTTGCTTGATTCCATCAAAAGGAAGCTAGGAGGTTAGTGGACCAGCATGCATGTGGGTAGGGCTGCCTCACGCGGTTCACCGTGCGGACATGGGAGTTGGAGGATGCCTGTGGAGATGTGTGGCCCCCTTTTTACACCCAGACAAGTCATGGGCATTGTTAGGAAGCACAGAGCTTGAAGCAGGTGGTATTGAGAGGACGATGTCAGCCTTTTCCGGGGCTCTGGATGGGTGGGCCGATAACTCATAGCGAACCCCAGATCTCGGTGGGACTTCATGTGGTTGAGCCCCTTGCCCACAAGGCAGTCCTTAGCACCTGGGGCAGAGAGTCCTCCGAAAGTTCTTGGGTCCCAGGGACAGCTTGTCTTTGAAATGAACTTGGCCTGTTGTGGCTGATCCTTGGGAGACTCATTCTGCATGAGCCATTAATCCGATGGCGAACTGGGTAATATCCACACAGGATGCCACATCTAAATGGGTGACACTCATACCCTACACATGACCACATATTTAATAGCAGGAAGATGTCTTGAAACAGCCAATTGGGACCCCGCCTCGTGGGCTTTTTGGGAAACCCTTGTGGGCTGGCATTTTATCCCGAGACTCAGATAACATCCAACAGCCGAACACAATCCCTCCGGGATGTGTGGGTAACATCACAATTTCACGTCATTTGCTGGGTTACAGGCTTACAATCCAAGACAGGACTTTTCATGTTGAAGGTGACCCTCAGGTCCAGCTCCGCAAACCTGCTTCCCAACACGGTGACATTCACTGGGTGTGGGTAAAGGGCTACAAACCCCATCGCCCCATGCTTTCGGAGAGTGCCAAGACCTTCACTGACTGCCCACAGGGCAGCCCAGGGCAGCAGTCTCGTGGAGCCATGGGAGAACACACCTTCCTGCTCAGCCACAGGGGCAGATTTCCTCAGGAGTTGATGGGGGCACGAGAAATAACTCAAGAGACGTCTAGCTAGCCTCTGTGCTCCGGAGCCAACACTGAGTCAGGGATGTCATATGACTTGATGACATCAATCAATTGGTGGCCAAGCTGCGACTTCGCTGACTCGAGCCAAGAGTCCCAAGCCATGCTCCTCTATTAGCCATTAGTTTGGGACCTGCGTGCTCTTGGCCTTGGTCCTGGATCTCTCTGACTTACAGGGTAGCCCTATGAAAAATGTGACCATCTTGCCTCCTGGGTAAGACCCGGTTTGCTGTTCAGCTATCCTTTGTATACAAGAGATTGCCCCAGGTCAGAGTCAGGAAACAAACCTCCTCAGCAGGGCCTCCACCTCTTTCCCAGCCCCCACTTCAGGGCCACCCCAGCTCCCCCCAGCTTTCCAGGGCTGCTGGTACCTCCGTGACCAACTGCAGGTCATTCACGTAGTTCTCCTCTGTGACAATGAGTTCATGGATGTAGCCTTGTCGTTTCCTCTCAGTCGGGGTCAGCATATCTAAGAGGTGTAAGTCTGAGCACCCTGGAAGACACAAACGTTTAGGAAAGCTGAGTGCAAGGCTGGGAAAGCCTACAGCTCCGCGGTGAAGACGCCCGAGGTCCCTGGGACAGCGGCCGGTGGGTGTCATGGCCTCATCCGCTCCGGGTTGCGTGTTGAGCTGTAGAGACCAGAGTGACATGAGCAGAGATCTCCGCAGGTCGCGGTCAGTTCTAGCAGCATAAGAGAGAAAAGTAGCCCAGAGTTTTCGGGAGGAGCCGTCCCACCCACTGACTTCAGACTTTCTGCCCCGGGACTGTAAGAGGGATAAATTTCACCCAGTTTGTGGTCACACACATGGGGTGCACACTTATGCTCCACCAGAACCAAGGAAAGGCTTAAACGAGCTGCTAACCCCCAGCCAACGCTTCCATGCCAGGCACGGTGCCAGGAGCTTGGCGCTGACCCCTGCCTTGAGCGGCTCTCTAAAGTTCCAGAGTCAGTTTCGTGGCACAGACAAGGAAACCAAAGCTCAGAGAGGTAAACTCTCCCCAGGTCCTTCCCCTCCACAGTGATAAGGAGCCGGGTCCAAGCCCTTCCGGGTGGGTCCAGAGGCTGTGTGCGCTAAGACCCCATTGTCCACACCAAGCTGAAGGAGGGCACGCGGATATCCCGAGGCCAGCTTTTGGAGGCTGTGGTAACTACGCCGAGGCTCCTGGTGAACGTGAGGGCCAGGTAGGTGCATCCAGACAGGACCGGAAGACTCTTCAGGCAAGGTCTCAGTAGTGTGCCCGTGGAAGGTGAGCAGCAAGCCTCAGCCAGGTTGGAAAGCCCTGCCAGCCGCAGACAGCTCCCAGGACAGTCCCACCCTGCCTTTGCAGAGGCCAAGGCTACCGGAAGGAATGACCCCGAAGCTGCCCTGAGACAGGCCAGCCCTCAACGGTGTTCGCTCAGCTTGTTATTTGGAGTTCTGTTCACACGGGGCCTTTGTAACAGTACGGCCCACCCCCGGCCTCGGCAGCACCCACTCTCAGTAGTGAGCCGGGCCCACCTTTTTATACATGAAAGTGGTCCCACACATCATATACTTCTTCTTATTAGACGGTCTTTATTTAATCACTGAATTTGAATTGGTAAAATACATACTCTGAGAACTTGGGTTGGTGGGTGGTGGTGGTGGGTGGGGTTGAGTCCCCCTAACTTTCATTTCCCATCATTCCTATCACTTGCCACAAGGGGGCGCGATAGAACACTGTGCATCCCTCGCTCGGAAACCAGCTATGTGTGGTCTCTCCACCATCAACCACCCTGGCAGAACCTGTAAATAAATGACCAGAACTTTGCCAAATAGACTCTCTGGGGGAGCAGACCAGGGCATTTCGATTTAATAAGCCCTCTAGTGAGTCTTCAGGTTTGAGGAGGCTGCTAGGGATTACCAAGGGCTCCTCAGAGATTCCAACTCCCGGCAAGGGGGTTTATTTAGGCTCAGGACTGACAAAGTCTACATGTGAATAGAATCATCCGTCTGGGAGAGTGTTATGATGAACTTCTTGGTGAACTGTTTTTCTGCTCCAGACATTACCTCTTAGGGTTACAGTCCTCGATTCTGCTCCCTCTCCTGGCCAATTGCCCTTTCTGCCTGCTGTAGTTTCTCATTGGGACAGAACAGCAGGGCAGCCAAGATAGTGCCAGGAAACCAGCAGGAGGGAGCTATCATTACAGAGACAGTCTCCACGCCTTTCCATCCTGGACTTTACCCAGCCACTGTGGGCGGCCGAGCTGGACCTCAGAGCGGCAAGGTGAGTGTGACTCTGAACTTAGGCCTCCTGCTAACCACCCTTGTGACTCAGCTCTTCTGTATGCCTGGGGTGCTGTCTTCTGGAAATATCAGTCTTAGCAAAGCTTCCCAGTGAATGTCCCCAGCAGCCGGGTGAGCCCTGGATTGTAGAAAGCAGAGAGACTCCTCTTTCCCTGGGTTTCTTTGCTCTATAACTTTTCTTGGGGGAATCACCTAGGGAACACTTTGAACCGTGGGGAGGCATATCCAGTCCCTGCCCTATCTTTGTCCACTGTCCTAAGAATGAATCCAAGGACCCAGGATTCAGGCCATTTCTTGTTCCATGGCTGAGTGTGGCCCCTGCATTTGGGGCTGGGCCCACTCTTGGACGCAGCCTCCTGGTGCTTCCAGGGCCTTGCTGTTCACAGGGCTGTTGGAATTCTTGCACACACTGTGGTTTAGGTTCACTTGGCACTGTATTGAAGTGTCTGCAGCGCAGACATCAGCAGTGGCCAGGCAAGTCTCACAAATGTCCCTTTAGATCACAGTTCTCTTGGTGAGATCTCATGGGCGCTCTGGGCTTGTACCCAGCAAACCACTACGTACCAACCACGTGAAACACGCATGCCCATTTTGCACACAGTTTTATTGAGTTCAAAAGCCTGTCTGCAAACTGGTCTTGGTAGCGCCTGACTTTAATCCCAGCACTGAGAGAGCAGAGGAAGATGAATTCCAGGACAGCCAGGACTACCTAGTGAGACCTTATCTCAACAACAAAACAAAACAAACACGCACAAAAAATCAAACAAAGGAAAAAAGCCTGTTTGTGGCCATCATTCCTTCATTTGGCAACTGATGATTGTCAAATGTCCAAAGTCTGCCCTGACTTTGGGACCAGCTAATCCGCGTGCTGGAAATTCAGGATGAAAGCAAGGTGCTTATTTTCCAGACCTTGCGGATTCAATGGTTTAAAACTGGACATAGTGCTGTTTGCTCCTCCAGTGAAGAATTCCTCTTCTGAACATGTTAATGCCCCCTAGGCTGAAGCTGAAGATGGCATTACTGTTCCTCCCCCTTCCCAGGTGGTGCCACTCCCCCAAGTCAACAATGGTACTGCCCCCTAGGCTCAAAGTGGTACTGCCCCCCCAGGCTGAAGGTCGTACTGCCCCTCCAGGCTGAAGGTGGTACTGCCCCTCCAGGCTGAAGGTGGTACTGCCCCCTTCAAACTAATACCACTCTCCTAGCACACCAGTTCAGGTTACTACCTTCCACCCAGAAGACTGACTGTATTCTTGTTCAAACAAGAAAGCAATAGCTGATATTTGGCAAGCTGAACCAGGACTAACTAATGGACTAAAACACAGGACAGAGAATACACATCTCTTGCCAGTAGATCCCACTGAGAAACGCCACCTCCTTTCTACAAAGGAAGTGCCATGACCAGAAGACACAAGAATGACCAAGAAACTGAAATGAGGTTCTGTTGGGAGAGATGCCTTTTGGATTCTAGAAGCTCCTCTGGGCACAAGTTTGGGAGGACAGTGGAAGGTGCAGGGATGCCTGGCTTAGTGCCAGCTCTGAGTGCACTTGGGGGCTGTTGTACACCTTGCTCTGGACAGGCCAACCTCAGATCTACACAGCTACAGCATCCAAGCCAGAACTGAGAGCCTGGAGATGCTGGTACAGCTGGGCTGTTATATCCGGAGTCCCACCCCATGCAAGTCTAACTCCAGCCTTCCTGGAGACGTGGCCACGCTGGTCTCTGGACCCAGAACACAATCAACAGCAAAGAATTTGGGAGGAGGTTTCTCTGCACATCGTGCAGCAACCACACTGACTTGAGATGGATTTTTGGTCACTAAACTGACCCATGGGATACTGAGAAGGTTGAATTCCAGACCCAGAAAGCCATGAAAGACTTGAAAAAGGAATTTTAAACCCCAAAATATCCTCCCTTTGAAAACTTAATATTTAGAAATCAAGGGGTTTAAAAACCTTCATTATGCAAAGCCAGACAAGTGGAAAAGCCATTTCAAATTAAAACTTTTCTTTAGGGGGTAGAGGGTGTGGCCTTCTCTCCCTTGGGTACCAAGATACACACAGTTTGTTGACCCCTGGCTGAGGGAAAGAGTAAGGGTGAAAGTATAGTGAATAATTTTCTATGGCCGTCGAGTAGGGATGAAGGGTGTCTCAAAACCAAAATTGGTTCACAGCTGAAATAATATTGCAAGAACTCCAAGCAGTTAAAAAACAGCCTCGATTAAACCCACAGGAAATTCCTAATGTAGGCTCCCAAGTTTATATCGTTTTCTTATAACACTTATGAAAGGGACAGGGCTGTGACGTCCTTTTGTAAGGCCCAGAGACTTGGACCCATATGGGTCCAAGGGGGATATGATGACCATCACGCCTATGACCAGTGGAACTGAGATCCTTTCTATTATAACTAATACATGTGTTCACAGATCTTGTGGAATTTCAAATGATACCGAGTACTTAGCATAAAAAAAATGGAAGACCCTCCTGCCTCTCTTCAGTGTAGTTTTGAAACTCAAATTAGCTCCCACAGCGGGCTAAACATTGAGCTAAGTAAATAAACAGACCTGATTTCTGTTATGAAGGAGCCAAAAAAATATAATAAGTTGGTCAATAAATATTTATTAAGTTTCCAGGAAGTTGAAGGGACACAGAGGTAAGCAGATACCATCCTTGTCCCCAGGGAAACTCAGGAGTTTAGGGAAGACTCCACAGGAAATGTAAATTAAAAAGAGTGGGACATGGTCCCATTGTTGAAGTGTTTGCCTTGCTCAGATCTGGGTTTGATCCTTAGAACATATAGTAAAAAGCCATGCATGGTGGTTTGTACTGAAATCCCAGTGCTGGGGGAGGGGGCGGGGCACAGAAATGGGCCTATTCATGGGGTTCACTGGCCAATCAGCCTGACTTAGCACATGACAAGCCCTTGGGTGTCCCTAAGATACACTATCTCAAAACCCAAGTTGGCGAGCTCCTGAGGAACAATCCTTGAGGTTGACTGCTGGGTGTCACACGTTCATGAGCTCACAGCTACTACACACTCACACACACGAAGAACAGGCCAGCCAACAGCGCTGTAAAAACAGCGAGGGAAACACAGACACCGGTGGAAGTAGAAAAGGCCATGTATGGTATAGGGGTAGCCATACCAGAACTGAACTAGAGACACAATGAGGAGAGGCCAGGAGAGTGATGGGGAGGCCCCATGATAGTTTTCACCTCAAGGGAAAGACAGCACAGTGTGTCTGGAGACATTCAGGCCCAGATGCCCTTGCTAAGTAGGTCTGTGTCAGTCACATGTGTGAATTGGATGCCTGAGTTCCTGTCTGTACTGCAGGAGTCGCTAGAGTGGGCTCTGCCAGACTTCAGTCTCTTGCCATTTGAGCTACACCTTTCCTGTCCCCACCAGGCTGCACTTGATCCTCCTAGGATATTGATTCTATTATGAACCACTCAACGTCCAGGCAGTGTGGCAGGTTGGTGGCTTGTCCTGTAAGAAAAGCAGATGAAGCCCTTTCTGCCGTCTCTGGTTTTGTCTCTGCACCGTAGCTGCTGTGGGAATCCTTCCTGCCCACAGTGAACTTCCTGCAGCATCTGTGCTTGCAGCTGAGGTCAGTGATGAGTGAGGCGTTGAGGTCCTTGTCTTCTGGAGGCCCAGGCATTCTAGACTGGCCTCTGCCCTGGTTGACTCACAGAAGCCTCTCGAAGGGCATGGCTGTGAGCTGTCATCAGTCCCCAGGACAGGAGAGTTTCAGATTCTCAGGATTTGATTCTGATATTGATAAGAGAGTAGGAGCTAGTGAGAGGCCTGTGGTGAGTAGTTAAAGATGCCACCAATGACATCAAAAATCCCTGTGCACTGAGCCCAGGTATCCCTATTTTAGGGAACCCACTGTGAGTTGTGTAGCTGGGTCCCTATGGGCATGTCCATTCAGCCTCCTCACTTGGTTACAAACCCAGAAACTAAAAAAAAAAAAAAACAAAAAAAACCCAAACCCCAAAAAACTACATATTCTCTAAATCATTTCCATCGTCTTCCAAGAAGGGCCATCTGGTCTACCTGACTTGCCAAGCAGTTTAATGAGCACAGAGAAGTAGTAGAAATGGAATTCTTTCCAGAGAGAGTCCATCTCCTGCTCTGCAGTGGCTAGGAATGCGGTTAGCAGATCATGCTGGCTTTCTGTCTGATGCTGGACTCCTGACACAGGTACCACAGCCCTTTACATCTGCATCTTCCCTTCGTTCTCGGCTGCATTCATGTCTCTGTGTGTGCTTTCTAGCTGTCTGGGCACTCACTCTTGGTGTGCCCTATCCCGCCGGATTTTTGGCTTCCTTAGCAATGGCTGTAAATAAACCCCTCAGGTTTGTAAGGATGAAATGTTACAGCAGCACTGTGGGACATGGTTTTTTATAATGAAGAAGGCAGCAGTAGATTTAAGCAGAGAGGTCTGGGAAGAATTTGAAGAGGAGGAATTGGAGTTGGACTTTGTTATGGTTCACATATCCCTCAATGTTCACATTCCATCCTGCGGAGATAGGGTATTTCAGAGGTGACTAGGGGTGATTGATTATCCTCACGAATAAAGAAATGCTGTTATCTCAGGGGTTGGATCCAGTTATAAACATGAGGCAGACATGCTGCTCCCTGGAGTATGACCTTTAAACCTTCCACTCTCCTAGAATGGGGTGATGCATTGGGGAGGCTCCACCAGATGCATCCCCTGGATCTTGAACATTTGAGCCTCAAGAACTATGACGATAAAAAGGATTTATAACTTAGCCACCCTGAGGTATTTTGTTACAGTATCCTGCACTAGGACATCATGGACAAAGAGGATGGAGCACGGAGAGTTGGAGTTGGGTGCGTGGAGCTGGAGGAATAGGTGTGGACGAGAGGAGACTCTGGGTGGGGCATACAGCAATGCTGAATTAGACGCTTCGGACACTGTGCATGTCTCGACTCAGTGCTCGCCAACAAGCTTGTGCACTGCGCATGTGTTGACTCAGTTCCTCGTCACCAACCACGTGGGGCAGCTACTGTGACCCACAACAAGCCGATGAGGGAACGGAGGCGCGGAGAAGACAAGTAAGTCGGTAAAGCAGTTAAGAAACAGCAGACAAAGTGGGACCAGAATCCACGTTCTTAACCGTTCTGTCTTCGCCTTGCCGGATAGGGGGTGTTTGTGTGTGACCTGGTGGCTAGGACACACAGACAGGGTAGCTTTAAAAATAGAAGTTTACTCTCGCATAGCTCTGGAGTCCGAGAGCGGGCCAAGATGTTGGCAGGGTTCATCTCTCCTAGGCTTACAACCATATCTTCTTCCCGTGTCCTACAGAACCTTGCCTTTGTGCATGGAAACCCGTGGTGTCTACCTACGTATGGTCTCTTCTTAAAGGGACACTTGTCATATTAGAGTAGGATCCACTCTGACGGTCCCACTGCACAGTTTAAATACATCTTTGAAGACACTAACTCCAAATTTAGCCACATCCTGGGATCTCTAAGGTTAGGGCTTTCACCCATGAACACTGGGAGGCACAGTTCAGACCACATCAGAAGGGACACACACTTGGGGCTTGAGGCAGAGCTAGGTTTGGGCTGTATGTCAGGAAGATCTTGGTGGCAGGCGAGTGTAGGATGGAAGGGGGTGGCAGTCCTCCAGTATGGCGGCACACTGAAGTCATCCAAGGAGCTTGGAGACTGCAGTGTCCCCGCTGAACTCAACACTAATGTCTAACTCTCCAGGGGAGACCTGTGTCCATCTCTTGTAAGGCTCTGAGTGATTCTCATTCCAGGCAGAGAAGACTTCCCACTGTCGAGAGAAAAGACGGTCTGGATGCCCAGTGTGGGAAGGAACTGGAAACCACAGCTGTCCCAGTGCATGGGACACAGGGCTTCCACAGCCGCTCAGCTCCAGCCAGCTCAGGGCTGGCTCCCGAGCAGTTATCCAGTGCCAGCTCTGAGGAGAGAACACTGTCCCTGACAGGCCATGTGCACCCCAGAGCCCACTGAAGCCCAGATGTCCTGTTCTTGGGGCCTCTGGAGGTGCATGTGAGGCCAGACTATTGGAACAGACCCTCATTGGATGGATGGGAGCGTGGAGTCCAGAAAGGGACGGCTACTCCCGCTATCAGAAACGCTCTCTGGAAACAGGAGGATGAACGGAGCCACCTGTGTTCCCAGGGAGCCCACCATTTTTCCTCCTGCACTTCCTGGAAGGTCTCCTTGAAAACAAGCTTGGCCTGGGAGCTCAGGCTCTTAGGAGCTGGCTGCAGCTGGTCAGGATGGAGAGATGGCTCAGAAGCTGAGCGCTTCCTGCCGTCAGTTTGGCTCCCAGCACTCCCATTCGGTGGCTCACAAACACCTGTGACTCCAGCTCCAGGGGATCCAATGTCTTCTTCTGGCCTCCACAGGCACCACTCACACGTACATGTCATACGCACATACACATAAATAAAAATACATCTAAATAAAAGACCCTTGGCGGACCAGCCCACAGGAGACTCTGAAGGCTGTGTGATGGGGAGGTATACTTCACCACCCTAAGTCTATGGCTTCAGAGGGACCTGGCAACACCCTGGACCTCTACAAACTGACTCCTATGGAACACAAGAGACACTTCCAACCTAAGACATTTTCTGTCTGTTTGAGTGGCTGCAGGTCCTACCCAAGGGTTGTTTCTGTGAGGCCACCACACTCGTGGGGGAGACTAGATACCAAATGTGCATGGGACCAAGTGGTACGTATGTAGACTGGCTAAGTGATTATGAAGCATGGCTCCTGTTCCAGAGCCTTTCCATAAACATCAGCTTTTTCAACCACGCCGCCGTCCCCAGCGTAGGCTTTGCGCTGGATTCTCTGCCACACACGGCGAGAGAATGAACAAGATGGTACACTGATGGCCAGGCTGGGGAGGGAGGACGATGCACGAGGCAAACGTGGACCGCCACCAACACCCGACACCTCCTCCACAGTCCCCAAGGGTGAGGACTGGTGGGAAATGTAAGTGTGCTTACAGCCAGCAAGAGATGGGGACCCCACAGTAGGCCAGCTCTATGAGGGGGAGTGCCATCACTCTTGATGGTGTTTGTCCTGAGACGACTCACTCCCTTTTGTGGTTCTGGGGAGAGAACCCAGGGTTCCATCCACGTTAAGCATATGTTTTTACCACCGAGCTACACTCCTAACTCTCTGCAGATTTTATTATTATTATTTAACTTTCTTTTAAGATAAAGTCTTATGTATCTCAGGCTGGCCTAGGATTCCCTAGGTTGAGGGCGAACTTGACCTTCTCACATCTTTGCCTTCACCTCTCAGATGCTGAGATTCCAGGTGTGACCACCCACCTGCTTATGTGGTGCTGAGAATGAACCCCAGGGCTGCGTGCATGCTGGGTAAACATGCCACCAACTGAGCTACGTTCCCAGCCCAATTTATTTACTTCTGACAGCATTTCATTATGTATCCCAGACTGGCCCCCCACCCCATCATAATCCTCCTGTCTCAGCCCTCCGAGGACTGGAATAACAGGCATACATCACATGACAGACTCTTCGTGGCATTCTTGATGTGATAAATCTGGAGACACTAAGCTGGCCCTGCCCTCAAAGGACTCAGGCTAATGAGGAAGATGAGTCTGTCTTACAGTTTGCAGATACTCCCCCCCCACACACACACCAAAGGTTCATGTGTGCCCAGTCCCCAACTGGTACATCTAGTCCCTGACAGGTGACTGGATCAAGAGGGAACCAGCCATTGATTGACTCATGAACAGCATCTACTAGCATTTTCTAGACGTTGGAGACTTAGGTGGTGGCTTGGTTGGAGGAGGATGATGAGGGGGCATGCCTTTGACAGGTGTCTGGTCCCTGACCTCTTTCTGTTTCTAAGCCTTGATGAGGTAAGAGACCCAACCCTGCAAATTCTCCTGCTGCCACACACGGGCACAGTGTTCGGCCTCACCAAAGGCCCACGGCCACGGAGCAAGCGGAGTTCTCCATAGATGAGAATGCTAAATCTCTGGCCAAAATAAGGCTTTCTTCCTTGTGAGTTCCTCCTTAGGGCCCTGTCACGGTGACAGATTGTGACTTACCCAGTGTCCACGTGTGTATGTATCAGCCTCCTGGTCTCCTTGTCATGTATGAAAGAACTTCATGGCAAGGTAACAACGGTTGGGAGGACGGCAGAGAGCAGGAAAGGGGGAGCAAGGGGGGACATGACATGTGTTACTGGGGTGCATCAAGGACTTAAACTTGAAGCCAGAATTCCAGGAAGGGTGTGTGTAGGATATGGGGGCAAAGGAAGATTTGGAGCTGGTTTAGACCGGACAGGTAGGGTAACTGAAGGTTCTATGGACCCAAGCACCCTGTGCCAGCTCCTAACTAGAAGGTGGCACATGGGAGCCCTAGGGAGGAGACCGTGCCCATGGGGGTTTGAGCCGTCTGAATATGGCACAGTTCCGCATCCATGCCACCTGTCAGTTCCCTGGTGCATGCCCAGGATGCTGCCAGAGGACACAGATGTGGGTTCTGACTCCTACATGCGCCAGAAAGGTTTTCAGGTTGGCAGAGTCCACTATTAGATTAATATGTATCTAAGACCATGGTCTTCTGACTGCAGCCAGGAATGGAAATTTAGAAGCCACAGTTGCTTTGGAGAGGACTCCCAGGCTTCCCTGCCCTACAGCACTGGCCTTGGGTCACACCATGTCTCGTGAGATGGATTGACTCTACCATTCTGTCTGCTGGTGTCTCCTCCCACTCCTACACGTTCAAAAGCAGGCATCACACCTGCCTGTGTTCCAATGCCCACAGCCTTAGCACCAGGCAGGGGCCGTACTCCTGTGTGTGTGTGTGTGTTGGGGGGAGCAACAGGAGAAGGGAAACTGAGTCAGGACAGCCCTCTGAAGCCTTTGTTGCAGCAAGAGGGAGGGAAGGGTAGTGGAAGATTTTTCTTCTGTCTCTTGAGAATAGGCTGGGGTGAGGGTTCCCACTAGACAGAGTCAGTGGGGGTTGGTTACTAAGGGAGGTATCGCTATGTAGGGCTTTCCATGGTGCTGTGGGATTCCAAGGCAATGCCCCAGAACACAAAGATCCCTGCTTGGCTTTGCCTGTTCTGCTGCAGCTGGTCCCCTACTCTGGTTCAGCGGAGCAGAGGCAGCCAACGTCCTGTTCTTGTCTGGGTACACGCAGCAGGGTGCAGGGATAGTGTGTTTCTGGGGACCCGAAGTGTTCTGGGCACACGCAGCAGGGTGCAGGGCAGTGTTTCTGGGAGCCCTAAGTGTTCTGGGTACACACAGCAGGGTACAGGGCAGTGTTTCTGGGGGCCCTAAATGTTCCAGCGCAGCTGCTCTTGGGAGCACACGGCTCTAGTGAAACAGTACAGCTACTTAAAAAAAAAAAAAGTGGCTGTCATGTCTAGCGGGAGCAGGGGGCAAACGTTCCATTCTTTGCTGGCAGGAAAAGGCCACAGAAGGCTATGATGAGAAATACAGGACCCAGTGACTCCACACATTTGTCCAGGTTTATTGTGGAACCCTGCATGGGCCTGCCAACAGTCCATGGTTGTGGTATTTAAAAGCCTTGTACATTCCATGGGCCCTGGTTGGGCACCCCACTGTCACCATGTCAAAGAGGCATCTGGCACCAGTGGCCTGCTGGGGAGATGCTGGCGTGAGACAGGGCGTCAGCACGGGACAGATTCTCCAAAAGGCTTCCGTGTAGGTAAGCCCCCTGGGGCCAGAAGGAAGGGACTGTCAATTGTTTGCAAAGTTGCAGGGGGTCAGAGGGGGCTGTCATTCTCTCTGCAATCTCTCATCTACGAAAGTAGTTGTTGGCCGGAGGGGCGGAGTTAGAAAGCAAGCAGGAAGCCACAGATGGGCTAGCCAGAAGATTCACTGAGCACGCAGAAATCATTCATCCCGACAAACAGCTCCTTTCTTAGGCACTGGGTTCAGTCACTGGTGTTCTCATCACTTCCCTACTGGTGAAGTGCAAAGAGCTTAAATAACATTCCCAAGACCACAGAGAATGTAAGGTAGCAGAGCTGGGATTCAAACCTATGTTCTAAATGACCATCCTAGAATAATACCTTTAATGCCACCAACGTCCAAGGGTACAGCTATACCGATTTCCCCAGAGCAAACTAGTAGATTAAACTGTGTCTATATTCCGCACCATGGTCTTCAGGCTGCAGCCAGGAATGAAAATTTAGAAGCCACATTTGGCCCAAAGTGAGGGCATCTGGAACAGGCCTGTCTTTGGGAAACTGGGCTGCAGTTAAAAAGAGACTACGGCTGAGGTAATCCAGTATGGAGCGTGGGCACTGAATGTGTGATGATGTGTGGGATTCTCATCCTTCCCAGAGGTAGGAGACCCACAGGAAGGAAAGGGGCCAGTTCTTATCTTCCAGAATGACAGCCACCAATAATTCTGAGCAGGTGCTGTGGGAGGCAGGGCTCCAGAACAGACAGGGAGAGAAGGGGGTGAGCCTGACACTGGAATGGGCAGAAGCTTAGAGGGTACCCCAAGACCCTCAGTATCCTCATTGTCAAATGAAGGGCTTGTGTCCAAGGTTCTAAGATCTCAACACTGTCAAATACTCTTCAGGGACATCCGTCCCTCACTGCCACATTGTGTTCTCTGCTTCTCTGGTATGGTCTGGCTTAGTGTGCAAGCGTGACAGGGCACAGCGTGGGCATGGGAAGGGGGAGCAGAGGCCTCACTCAGGAGCACACAACTTCCTCATGCCCTCTGGTAGGTCACAAGTGTCTCCTGTCCTGGGTCAGGGTTTGGAGAACTCAGGAGAAAGGAGTGGTCAGCCTAAGCAGATGTATCTACGCTGAGGAAGTGTGTGCCCTGCAGGATGATGAGCCAAGCAGAACTGAAAACTGCAGCTGCCAGAGAATCTTCTAGACAATTCTATCTGCTTTGAGCTGGACTCTGAAGTTCAGAGTAGGTTAGGAAGCCACAGATAATACATTCAAGTCGCTTTCTCATGCCCACATGCGGCACACACAGAGACCACTGACGGCACAGAAGAGCAGGCGGGTAGCGTCTGGTTCCTAGACTCTAGGAAGTGCCCATACAGAACCGTGTAACACAGCATACATGGATCTTACCAACGATGGTCATGTCTAAGAAACAAAGCCTTGGTTTTAGTAAATCAGGCATTTTTTTTTCCATGTCTGGGAGCTTTCAATGCGGCGCACAGAGCCTTCAATGAGAAGCAATGGACTGGCTGAGATAAACCACCTCAGCTCTTCCAAGGTTCTCATTTAAAAAGGGCCCAAGGAAATGGTGGCTAAGTGAGATCCGCATAGAATGGCATTCTATATATTTTTCTTCTTTTTTCTAAAGTGTTTTATGTGTTAGCATTTTTTCTGTATAAAACATGTCTGTCTGTGCACCACCACACACGTATGTGCATGGTACCTGTGTCAGATTCCCTAGGGCTGGAGTTACAGACAGCTGTGAGCCACAATGTGCTTGTTGGGAATCAAACCTGGATCCTCTGGAAGAGCAGCCAGTGCTCTAAATCACCAAGTCAAATCTCCAGCCCCCAAATAGCAGGTATTCTGTATCTTCCTATGCATTCACTGGAGTGTGTGTGTGGTGTCGCTGAGAGTCAACAGCACCCTGAACAATTTTTCTTGGGTATTTTGGGGGTCAAAAAAAAATAAACAGATTAATTTGTAATTTTGTCAAAAGGAAAAAAATATTCATTGTCTCTCAGAAATAATTTTCCATTTCCAAGAAGTGGGGTTGTTATCTGGGTGGTAAGTTTCCCAGATTGGGCTAGAGTGAAGACTGCCCAGATCCAAGTCCACAGCCGAGTCTCAGCACACACGGGGAAACACCAGGGCAGCACTACTCCGGGGAGCTAGGATTTAAAGGAAGCAGAAACTAGGGTGACATCTTGGCTCTTCCTACGGATGTGTCAAGAACCTGGATTCTGGTGTATTCTATGGTTGTTTGAGCTGCTCACACAATGGGCGTCTTTGAGTGCTTAAACCCATCATGTGGCAGGAAATGATAAATTATATGGGGTTAAGTCATATGAAATTGCTGTTTTGGGCAGGGCATGGTGGCTCACTCAGCAGAGGGATTTATACACACACACACACACACTCATCACACAGAGTAAATATAAAATAAAATAAAAAACCCCAAAAACCTAAAAACAAAAATCAAACACCAAACTTGGTACTTTTAAGCCTTGAGGGACTCTTTACTGTTTAATCCAACTTTAAAAGTAGAGAATATAGAGGACAATCAAGATGTTTTGAAAAAGGCAATTGTGGGAGACGCTTTATGCTGCATACACATGATAGAAGCTTCAAAATGGATGCAAATATTCAGCAGTAGTTATCAGGGCAACTTCAGTAGCCGTGTGTGGGGTAGCCATATGTGGGCTGACCACTTGGGTCAGGACAACCCAGTGAACTTTAGCCAGAGTGGCCAGTAGGGTGAGACCAGGGTTTCTCTGCTCAGACCTGAAAACTCTTCCATGTGAACTGTGCTCTGTGTTGTAGGATGACCCACAGGATGCTAGAAGTGGTCCTCTGCCTAAAGCCCACAGTGTCAGGTGGGTTCTTCACAGTCCGTGCTAATGGCAGGGATGGGAAGGAAACCTGTGCCAGTTCCCAAACTTAGGAGAAAGACCAGCGGAACAAACCACGAGAGGGTAGCGGAGTGAAATGTGAAGACATCACCCACCTTAACAACGGCATCCCACCATCAACATGAGCACTGGAGGAGGAGCACCGCTTAGACAGCGAAGAGGTCCTGGGGAGGAGTGAGGATGCAGACTTGATCACTGTCCAAGGGCTGGATGGGAGACAGGAAGGGCCTTGCCCACCTCCCACTGAGTCTTCACTGTTCTGATGTCTAGGTGCAGAACAAATAGTTCACCTGGCTCACTGGTCTCCAGCATTATCCCTGCCCCTCCTGGGAGGGCTGTGTTTGCCCTGTGGCATCAGCGCCCTCCCCCAAGTACTGGATGGCCTGCGCATGCTACCGTTCGCCCACACTCCGCACAGAACGTAACACACACCCATAAAGATTTGTATGGACTTCGTTTTCACTGCTTCTCTCGCTAGAACCCAATGGGGCACCCAACACACAGGACATTGATCACCCCTTCCTCAAAACTTTTTGCCAGCTTAAAAAACTGCAATGGAAAGGTAGGGAGGCCCAGTGAGTGAGGTTCAAGAGGATAGCGCCAATCACATGTCCATCACGACTAGCGTGTCACCCATGTGTCGTGTGCCAATTTGTATCTGTAAATGTCACAAGAGTGCATAGCTGACGTGACCCACACTAGTGAAATGCACAAGTCGGCCTCTATCCATGTGTCTTCTGTACTCACTGGCTCATTATTATGACACAGTTTCCACCAGTGTTTTATGCCCTAAGCCGAGCCACACACCTGTCAATGTGTCAACACCACAAACTAAAATTCCACAGAGAGTTGACAGCTAAGCTGGTGGCAGACCTCCACACTTGGGACTACTATTATACAGGGAGCCTCGGTTTACACATTGGCGGGACGGGACGGGGTGTACTCAAGGAGCGTGTCTGGATTCACACGCAGCATGTGGGCAGCAGGCCAATGGCTGACACCTGTCTGGGTGGTGCCCTCACCACTGCAAGATTCCAACAGCAAGAACACAGAGACATTTCCATCTAACTTTTATATGAAGAATTTAATCATCTATACACATAACTAATCCAAAAGGTTGTATTACAATTGTTAAAGCCGCAGTTTATATATTTATATATTTTACATTCATATCCACGAAACACTGAAGCGCAAGTAGACAAGGAGGGGCTGCCCTGTCCTTTGCACCATGTGAGGGGAGAAGGACCATGACACGGCCTGCAGGGCGTCTCCCCAGGAGGGAACCCAGAAAGACATCAGTTAGCTTACTCCTAGGACAGCTAGATGGTGCTTCAGGCTTCCCCAACCCCATTTCCTGTGCTGTCAGCAGTAGTATTTTTCCTTTTCTTTATTTCTTTTTTATTGAGACCTTCCAACTAATGTCTAAAGACAAACATGGCTACAGCACAGTTAACACATATGTGGACCAGGAGCGCCATTTCATATTAATCTGTAGAAACTCCACAGTCTAGTTAAAAATGTAAACACTGGAAATTAATTGCAGGGAAACTATACATTCTTTCTTATCAAGAAAATTACTTGTTTAAAATATTCCATGAAAAGCAACTGGAATAAACTTCCTGTAACAGAGACTGTTGATCGGAACCACCTTGGTGGTGGTGTCTTACCGATTTACGGTATGAAAATACGCCAAATGAAAACCTCGAAACAGAACACCAGTCAACTAGATAAATCTGAGACCAAACGGAAACACAGGTACTTTCTTGTGTGGCTACAAGATCACTGTGCAAAATAAAATTAATGTAATAGATGAGAGCACTGTGCACGGTGGTTTGCCATGGAAGAGCTACTTCTTCAGTACAGATGTGTTCCATGCAACAGGTACACGTGACATCACAAGCAAGCCTGACGCCTATTTAGGCAGGCGCTCTCTACACATCTTCAAAGCGGTACACCCAACTCCTCTGCACTCTACGGTAGGGGAAAAGCCCCAAACTACACAATTTAGTTGGTAACACTGGACAAAATGGAAGAAAATACATCAAGTCTCAGATTTATGGACATTCGGAACAATTTTTAATAGCACATGCAGCATTCCTTGATAGTGGGTCTTTTTGCAAAACCAAAATAGCAAAGAAGTAATTGATTGATTTTTATTAAAAGGCTAAAATACACATTTAAAAATAATCTCCAAACCACTGAGAGCACCTGTGTAAAGGCAGGGCAGTCAGTCTGAGTGAGTAGGAAAGCCACAAAAGGACCCACCGCCCTGTGCACTTTTGCCATTTTGCTCCTGTCTCTGCACGTAATGACTCAGACATTGCGATCACATGCAACTAAGATAAAATGAGGTAAACTGCTCTGCAGTGAGTTCTTCTACTCAGAAGGCAGTAGGTGATCATGCTGCAAGTCACATGATCAAGGCTGCATCTCCCATCATCCCTCTGGGCAGTGATATGGGATAGTGGGTCTCTTTGAGGACTTTCAAGCCTGAGGGGGGGGTGGACAACATATGATTCCTAGAAAAAGGAGGAAAACAACACATAAGCCAAACAAAACAATGTGCAAAATTCAAGCTAGGAAAATGAGTCAGGCATGTACACAGCATGGTGCCAAAATGATTTAAAAAAAAAGAAAAGAAAAAAGAAAGGGGGGGAGGGGGCATGCTACAGAAGGAATGAAATTTAAAAACAAAACAACCCCACGGACTAGCCTTGCATCACAGAAGGTCTTCAAAGAGACTGTTCAAATGCAGCAGTGGTCTGGCTTCCAGGTCTGCAAGCCAGGCTCGGCAGAATCAGAGCAATGCTGCATGTCTTATGGGAAGAGGCCAGGAGGCCAGGAAGAGAGCCGCCAGGGCACTTACATTGCTGGCTTGGGTCCATGTCCGTGGTCAGCTTCACATAATTGGATGGGAAGAGCCCGACCTGCCCGTTGACTTCTCCTTTCCACCAGTCGGGGTCCTCCTTGTTGAGGACGTTGATGATCTGGCCCTTGCTGAAGGCCAGCTCGTCATCGTTCTGTGCGGTGTAATCGTACATCCCGATCACTTGGCACACTGCGGGAGACAGGGCTGTGTGAGCAGCTGAGCAGCCCAGTGGCACGTGTGCAGCAGCAGGTACATTCCCGGGTCAGAGGGGGCGAGTGAGGAGAGCGGGGCCTCACTTTACGTGGTGTGGCAATAGAGGAAGATGAAGGACTACATTTTTAAGATTTTACCCTTTCTTAAATGTCATAACGTCTTCACAGTGCTTGTCAGCAGACAAGGGAACCTTGAGCGTGGTGGAGGGACTTACAGCGCTGACTGCCGGGGGCCAGAGCACGTGCCTGTACCTGTCTGTATCTTATTCTTTTGTGATGCTGAAGATTGATCCCAGGCCACAAGCACAGCACGCTAGACAAGTGCTAGACAGCCCTGGACCTGGTCATTCTAAAGGTGGAATACGGCTCTCACTTGGTCTGTGAACATTTCCGAATCTCAGTGAAAAGAGAAACCAGTGCTTTATTTAGGAGGCGATTCTGCTATATGTTCATGTCTCAGAGACAACCACACCTCAAGAACAACTTTCCTTTGCTTTTAATCCCACAGTCTCACTGCCTGGCATCTTCATTCTTAACCAACAACCTATATGCAGTTTCAGGGCTCTCAAACTCTCCAGCTAAGAGAAGAGAATCCTTCTGCAGATGGTGTGGGACTTGCAAGCTGATAGGAGCTGATAGGAGAGGGTTCTGCCAAGTCTCCCAGAGGACAGCAGATTCAGATGGTACCCCATCCCGCTACTGCCCACACAAGGCCTCAGCTCATGCAAAGGGGACAAGTTGGGGACCAGGGCTCAGACACAACATTTTAGGACCTGACATTTCTTGCAAGGACAACAAGCTTAAAGCCAGTTTCACAGGAGACATATAAAACAGACATCCAATCACAAAGTGATGATGGAGCAAAACGTCCACAATCTCCATAGGGGTCACTAAGTCTAGGTGACTCTTCCACAGTTAACTCACTGTCTTAGATCAGAAAAAGGGCAAGCCAGCTGCAGCCCTCTGCCTTTGCCTGCCTTCTAGGAAAGACATAATAATGTCCTGCCACTCAGTGAGCCTCCTCTCTCCCCAGCAGATGTCACGAGTTTGTTTTAGGGGCCTTTCTGTTGCCTTGTCCAGTGGCCCAAACCCCAGGGTAAAGAGCTGAAAAGAAATCAGAGAAATCTGGCTTTAATGTCACAGCGTCCCCAAGTGCCCAGCACAGAAAGGCTACAGAGATGCTTGGAGCTTTTGAAAAACATATTCCCAGTCACACACTAGCTGTCGGTCAGAGCCAGCAAGCACAAAAGCTAAGCACATGAGACAATCACACGAGACATTGGATGAGAAACCTGAGTGGAAGCGGAGCGACCCGCAGGTGCCTTACCTGCCGGCAGCGCTGCAGACTTGGGTAGCTCGGTTGGGGTGATTTTGCTTGTTCCAGGGCTTAGAAGTTTGACATAATTTGCTGGGAACCAGCCTATCTGGCGCTTTTTCCCTCGAGCCTAAGAAGAAAATCATAACGTTTTATAACAAAAGCCCATCTTTCTCACACAACCTGCTTTGTAGCAGGGCATTGTACAACACTCACACTGAGCTGAGGTACAAAGGGATACAAACTGCTGCAGAAATCAAACATGGCCGTTCCATTCAAACTGCGGCAGAGTTGATCAGCAGAGCTGGACTATGTAGATCACACATTCAGGACATTCTGTAATGTAGTTAAGACAGAAAGCTAAGGGCTGGAGCGATGGCTTAGGGTTCAGAGCACTGGCTCTTCTGGAGGACCAAGGTTCAATTCCCAGCCCCACTGGCACCTTACAGTTGTCTGTAATTCCAGTTCTGGGGGATCTGACACCTTCTCTGGCCTCCACGGGCACTAGGCATGCAAGCGGTGCACAGACATATATTTAGGCAATGCGCATACACATACAGATAAAATTATTTTTAATAAGATGGAAAACTAGTTAACAATTTACTGCTACATCAGGTAATGCAGATGAATGCTCAAGAAGACCTGGGCACCTCAGATGCCTTGGTCTACAGGACAGCTCCTGAGGCTACAGTGTTGTTATTCTTGATTTTGAGATGCCTAAATTGAGCTTGAAAAGAGACATGACAGTCCCAGGGCTACAGACTCACTACCATGCCTGAGTTCTCTACGTAGATGTCAGACAACACATAGCGTCCACAGAACACAAGCGTTCAACTTGATGCTGTTTCAAAACCATCCGGCTCTCAGATGGCGGCAAGATTTTCCCGCTGTCTTAGTTCCCCAGCATCACGCACATTACCGACTGGCACCCTCCTGCACTTCAAAGCCTGATTCAGCCCAAGAGCCCTCTACTGAGCATTTTTACAGTATCAGAAACGGCACAAATGTGGAGGCATGAAGACGCAAGAGGCTATCCTTGTCTATTCCTACTGTCAGGAGAAAAAACACCACACAAACACACGTGCGCTTGCACACAGACAAACACACACACGGACGCACACACGCGTGCCTCCAGAAGAAATCTGATAAAAATATCTGTCAAGGCAGAAGATTTAGTTCAGCGGTTAAGAGCACTGGCTGCTTTCTTGAGGACCTGGGTTCAGTTCCCAGCACCCTCATGGCAACTAACCACTGTCTGCAATTCCAGTTCAAGAGGATTGGATACGTTCTTCTGGCCTCCATGAACACCAAGCACACACATGGCACACACACATACATGACTGTGACACCTATTCCCCAAATAGATAAATAAAACCGATACCACCACCTCACACCTCTGCCCTCCACTCACCAGGTCATGAAGGAGGAGAGGCTGGGTTAGCTCTAATGCATAGCTAAGATTTGGTTGGTCAGATAGAAGTCATGTCCTTGGCTCCAGGACTGCCTCGCTGTGCATGGTGAATCTGCTGAAGAGCGCTGTGTCTGTTTAGCTACTCCCGCTCTACACAGCTGTACAGTGCACTGCCACACGGCTCCCGGACTCTTCTGCCCCACCCCTAGCTTTACAGGGGCAGGAGCTGAACTCCTTCCCATTCTCTGCTGTGTCCATGCTGAGAGTCTCTGTAAGGGACATATCCTGGACACAGCAAGCCAACTACTTTTCTGTGAGGGCCAGAGCTACTTACCACTGTGTTGATGTGCCAGGGGTATGAGGGCTAAACTAAAATACATGCTTCTTTAAGGAGTCGAGCCAGAGACAATCCCGAGTGTGGAAACAAAACAAGCGTGAGTCTAAGTTACAGCCCAGCACTGACTGATGTCCACCTAAGACCAGCCCCCACGGTCGGAGGAGAGTGTGCTGGTGGTTCTAAAAGCCCTTCTAGCCCTTGAGGAATCAGAGGCCCGTGGGAAGGAATGCCATGACCCACTGCAGGAGGCCCAAAGCCCAGGGGTATGGCTGTCCCAGACAAACTGTCAGATGGGACAGAGTGGGCATGCAGCTGCGAAGGGAAGTAGAGGCAGGTTCACAGGGATGGTGAAGAAAGGCGGAAGGACTCATGAGAATGCTCTGAACAGGAGAATGCACGGACCAGAGGCAAGCGGCAGTCAAGACACAGATGCACAGGGATGGCTGGCTGGACTGAGTAGCCTTCTCTATCTATCATGGTCACATTCAAAAGCAGAATGGGAGCCAGGACTGGGGCCACAAGCCTGCAATCCTAGCATCTGAGTCCAGCCTGGGCTACACAGCGAGACTCCGCCTGAAAAACAAGTTGAGGCTGGGAGTGGTAGTGTACGGCTTCAGTCCCAGCACTTGGGAGGCACGGGCTGGTCTATATGGTGAGCTCCAGGCCAGCCAAGGCTCCACAGTGAGACAGTGTCTACAACGAAAGAGTAAGAAAGGAACACTGCAGCTCCCTACTCCTCACAGAAAGTAGAACGGATTTCTCGGACCCAGCGTTGGACTCCTCAACAAGTATTCTGCCTCTGGCCAGGATCTCTGGCCAGGGCTCTTCTGGCTGCCCACCAGACAGCTCCCTGTGTAAGCCTACCGTGAGTCACGCTACAGACTATGGCTTTTCTTCTGGCCGAGAGCATTTCTTTCCTCCTATGTGCAGCTCAGCACAGTATGGGTCCTCCTTCCTCATTCGGGAATGGCCCGGACAAGCTGTGAGCAGAGAAGCACGTACGGCTGGGGAGCTGCAGACAGCCCTTCTCCTCCCCAAGGACGCTCCCTCTGCGCTCACCACATGGTCAACACCCAGCCTCCTGTCTCAGACGTATCTGTCTGTCACAGCATCCTGCTCAGAGCCACACGAAAACTGGCTAATGTGATAAGCAGACTGTGGGCACATCACGATGGCAGAGTTATCACGGGCTCATTCTATAGGGACACTGGGTTCTTACAAGGGTGCTGCTATAAATTACCAGCTCACAAGTGGGGACCTCCTGTGTTATGTAGCAGGCCCCAGTGCTAGACTAAGGAGAAACACTATGCATCCCTTGTATACTAACCCGGACAGCTGCTGGGCACTCAGCCCTTTGGCAGGCCACTAAGGAATGCCTATGTGGTGAGCTGTGGCCCACACTCTCCTTCATGAAGGGAGGAATGCCAATGGAACGAAGCCAGGTGGAGCCTGCAGTCCCAGACTGGTGTTCACTGAGTGAGAAGAAGATGGAGGGCGGGAGCAAGGCATTTCCTGTGTAAGAGCCAGCAGGCCAGCCTCTTAGGTACATCTGCTCCTATGTGCGGACATGCGTGTATGGTGGTTCCAGCCTCTTAGGTACATCTGCTCCTATGTGCGGACATGCGTGTATGGTGGTTCCAGCCTCTCATGTACCTCTGCTCCTATGTGCGAACATGCGTGTATGGTGGCTCCAGCCTCTTATGTACATCTGCTCCTATGTGCGGACATGTGTGTATGGTGGCTCCAGCCTCTTATGTATATCTGCTCCTACGTGTAGACATGTGTGTATGGTGGCTCCAGGACTCCCAGAGATTTGAAACACAAGGAGAGTCCAGTCTCATCTTCACTAGTAATGGTGGAGCACACTTAACTCCCAATAACAAGGACAGAGCACAGAATGTGCCTGCACTGTTTACGAGGACCCCCTGCTAATGTCTACCCCAGCTGCCCCACCATCTGTGGGTCCCCTCTACCTCGGCATCCCTTCTAGCCTCCTCACCCCTCACCCCCTCTCTTGTCATTTGTTCCTGAACCACTTGACTATCAGGTTCTCACATCACAGCTCTTAAAAAAAATCTATTTGTGGTATGTGTGTGTGTGTACCCAAAGAGGCCAGACGAGGTCATCACATCCCCTGGAGCTAAAACTCCAGGCTGTTAGCTGCCTGATGTGGGTACCAGAAAC